TTGTTACATGCCATCAAGTTACCAGCAACACACAGCAACCCTATGTACAATAGCTCTGAACAATGCCCTATACCAAGCCAGTCTTACTGACACAGACAGACCTACTTCCATTATCCCAGTTACTGTTGCAGTCCATTTCATCCTGGGTCTTCCCCCCCAGAGCTGTCTCTCCATCCTTCAAAGCTTGATTTCCTTCTCCAAGGACTGGTCTCTCTTGGCCATGTGCCCAAAGTACTTAAGTCAAACTTCAAAATCCTTGTCTCTAAAGAGAAACTTGCCTCCACTCCAAGAAAGCCCTGTTTGCTTTGACGGTCCCTGGTATGCTCAATACTGTTCTCTAGCACTACATCTCAAAGGCATAGATTCTTCTGGCATCCTTCATTATTGTCCAGCTCTCTGATGCATAGCAAGTAACTGCAAAGACCATGGCCTGAATGAGGTGTACCTCACTTAGTCCCTACACTGACATTGCTGCTCCTCAGTACTCTGGAGAGGTCCCTGACAGATTATCCCAGTGTAAATATTTTATTTCCTTACTGTTGATGCCAAGAATGTTGATTGTGGAATCACACAAGCTGAAACTGTTAACTTCAATCTCTACTCCATCTACCATGGTGCTGTCAATCAGCCTAGTGGTGAGAATCTTTGTCTTCTTGATGTTGAGCTTCAATCATATTGAAGACTACATTCCTGGATCATCTGTAGCAAGCACTTCAGGTCCTCCTCAGTTCTGGCAAGTAAGGTTGTGTCATTTGTGTAACATAAGTTGTTGATGAGTCTTCCTCCAATTCTGATGCCACCTCACTCTAAAAATCTAGCTTCCCGAATGATCTGTTCTGCATATAGATTAAAAAGGTATGGTGACAAGATGCATCCCTGATAGACCCCTTTCCTGATTTTGAACCATGCAGTGTTTCCCTGCTCTGTTCTGAGGACTGCTTCTTGGTCTGAGTATAGGTTTCCATGAGCACAATCAACTGTTCTGGGGTTCCCATCCTTCTCAAGATTAGCCACAATTTGTTGTGATCCACACAGACAAACACCTTTACATAGTCAAACAGAGACAGGGATTCCTCTGGTACTCTGCTTTCAGCCACGATCCATCTGACAATGGAGGTAATGTTTGTAGAGCCACAGCCTCTTCTAAACCAAGTTTCTATTTCTAGTAGTTTTTTCTCAACATATTGTTCCAGTTGTTTTTGGAAAATCTTTGGAAGGATTTTGCTTGTGTGTGATATTACTGATACTGTTCTATAATTTCCACATTCTGTCTGGTCACCTTTTTATGGAATGGGAATAAATATGGATCTCTTCCACTTAGTTGGCCAGGTAGTTGTATTTATCTTATTTGGTATAATATATACTTTTTGTATCATGGGGAGTACCATGCTCTCCATATTGAATTTTCTCAATAAATACGATCTTATTTCTCATGATATGCAAGTCCACAAATAGCTACAAAACGAGAAAACACACTGATGATGAATAAAAGTGAGGATTAGAAATAACAAATGGCTTTCCTTTGTCAATTGATGGCATCATGTAGTTCTTTGCTTTGTTAATGTGATGTATTACATTCATTGTTTTTCTTATGCTGAACTATCCTTGCACATCTGTTATGAATTCCACTTGGTCATGAACTACTCTTTGGTCCAATTTTACTGGCCATGGGAAAGTCTGCTGTTAGGGACCTCTCCAAAGTACTGAAGAGCAATGGTGTCTCTCTGGAGACTAAGGTGCTTCTGATACAGGCCATGGTCTTTGCTATCACTTGTTATGCATCAGAGAGTTGGACAATGTTTAGGGAGGATAGAAGGAGAATTGAAGCCTTTGAGCTGTTGTGCTGGAGAAGAGTACTGAGGGTACCATGGACTGCTAGGAAAACAAACAGATTCATCCTGGAAAGGGTTAAACTGGGCAGCTCCTTGGAGGCAAGGATTCTGAGGTGCTGTCTAACATACTTTGGACATGTTGTAAGGAGGGACTGGTCCTTGGAGAGGGCCATCATGCTTGGCAGGGTGGAGGGACAGAGCAGGAGGGGAAGACCCTCTATGACGTGAACTGATTCAGTGACTGGGATAATCAGGATGGGTATATCAGAGACATGTGATTGGCACAGGACAGAGCAGAGTTTAGAGCTGTTGTACAAAGGGTCGCTATGAGCCGCAAGCAACTCGATGGTACATAACAACAACAAAATACATATTGCAGGCATGATAGAGAGAATGTAATTTAAAGTAACATGACTTTCCTTTTCTCAAGGAAAAGAATCACAGATTTTGCTAATCTTCAGAAAGATCCTACTTTTCATTTAACAGAGTTATTTTGGCTTAAAAATGCAACTACATTTTATGTAGACCTTGCTAGAAATGTAAGTATACATACATCTGCATATAATGGTTAAGACCTCAAATAATATTGTCTATAAAATGTTTAATTAGAGTGCCTTTGGTGGCCCTAAAGGAAAATATTCTTGTTGGCATAAGTAATTAAACTAACATGAAAATAATTAATGAAAATTAGTGTGTCTACACTGTTGCTTTAAAAAGCAAATATATTACCCACAAATGAAATTTAATCTTGTTTCATTTTAATCCCGACTTCTTGTTGTTATGTGCCTTCAAGCCGGAACCCCCTCTTAGCTGACCTTCAGCAGGTCTTCAGAGGCAGTACACACTGCATGGGAGGAGAATGCCCTTCTTTCTCTCGCAGCACTAGTGGATTCAAATTTCTAGCCTTTGGGTTGCCAGTGCAATTCCTTAGGAGCCCGTTGGAGCTTCCTTAATCACGATTAGTACTGAATCGCAGGCGACTCAATGACACATAACAAGAACTTCTTATATACACAACGATTATGGCTATAAAGTCCGTTTTCTAGAGTTCTTTTTGTACAGGTACCTAAACCTAAATTCCGAAGGATCTAACGGCAGTCTATCTCTAACTTGAGATATAACTACAATATCAGTGAGAAGACAAAATATCTTATGTATACAAATGTTCACAAGTAAAGATAACCAATCCTAGGCAGCTGTGCCCTTATTTAAATATGTATTTGATATGCAGTAGGACAAGCATGCCCGGTCTTTTCTTCTCTGTTACTGAACATGCAAACATCTTGTACTTTACTACCTTTTCTACTCCTCTCAAACAAACAAGAGCCTAGCACACTGTGTCTACTACAAAGTTATTATTTTTCTTTAATGGTCCCAGTAAGTGAAAATATAAAGGATAAAGAGTAGGTATGGAGCTGGCAAAGAATGAAGCTGGGAGTTTGGAAAAAAAAATTTAAAACTCTCAGAACTATAGCCAGACCAGCTTCAACCAACCTTCTTTCTTGATGCTAGCATAGCAAGGACCTGAGAAATAATTGAGAAGAAGGGTGACCTCCTACAGGCAGTAAAGTGGGGTAACCCTCTGTAGGCAGTAACAGCTGAGAAGTTTTCACAGAATCTACATGCAATGGCAGATAAAAAGAACCTGGTACTCTAGGACCTCTGTGTATTAACAAGGACCAAAGTCCGAAAAAGGTACAACTGTGGAATCACAAGCATTAAAGGTCTTACTCTAGAGTTTTCAGGGTTTTACAGTATACACATCTACAAAAAGGGCCAGCTGGGCCAGGTATATGCACCTCAGTTTTACTGATTGTATTCTAAGGCAAAGAGTATACTCCTTTACTGAGATCCACCCACTTTATTATATCTGCAATTAAAAGTAAATGTAAATCTGAAAGGAAATGCGTATGTTACTCTCTACTAGTCAAATAGTAATCTTTTAAGTAATCTGGGCAAATTAAGATTCCACTGGTAAACCTACTGCCAAAAATCTCCAATTTATTCAGTGCACTGATTATACTTAACTATTAATAGGGTAAAATTTGCATACTGTTATTCCATTAATGGTATAATTTCATAAACCAAATGTAGTTTCTAGTTTTTTCCATAGGAGATAAAATTTGTGCAAACCTTTTTTTAGTTCTTTTTAATAACTTCATTATTACTTGAGGCACTTTTGGCAACAAAAGGACAATAATCTACATGATATGAACAGAAAAAGTGAACTTCTTCAATGCCTGTAAATATATGAGAATTTTCTTCCTATTTAACATTAGACTACTTAATAGTCTACAAAAACTCACCAAATAATACAAACAATTAAGTGCTTGGTTTTGGCTTGAATTCATCCAATGTTACTTTAGAACAAAGACTTGGCAATCTATGTCCAAATCATAGCTATTGAACACGAGGAACAGTGTACTCTGAAATGCATGGCGCTGCCATGGAGCAGAGCGGATTCAATGGCACCTATTTTTTAGGTATTCACCAACAACGCAAAATAAGATTTGTATTTGAAAGTTAAGAAGAAAATGACATTAAGTTCTTTAAGTTTGAATTTCGTGTCCATCCATCCATCTCATGTTGAGTACCAAGAAAACGTGTTTGCTCACAACTGAAAGCTACATATTATTACATGTGAGAAGAAAAAGATCTACTTTGTTCACCGGAGCTGCCAAACCTGATCAAAGATTCTTCTGGACTATTTCACTTTTGAGAAATTAAATGTTTGTAAATATCACCAATATTTTAAGACCTATCTCTCAATATGCAAGCTGTAGTAAATACAAAGTAACACACTTTTAAGAGAAAAGTTTTACAAAACAAGAGGAGAATACTGGAGATGAGCTTACAAACAATGCTGCACATAGTCTCTAGAACCCTGGTTACCGTCAACCAAGAAGACGAGCTGCTAGTCATCAGTCCTTAAAGGCGCTGGCCACCGTATCTCTCAGTGATTACAGAGACACCATACCACAAAACCAAACCATGCTTTCAGTACTTTCCTTAAGCATTACAAAACTAATTTCCCGTTTTCAATATTGTGTAAAAATAGACTTGCTTTCTCCAAAGAATTAGGATGTCCAAGTTGATGGATCTGTACATTTCCTTCTTATTACTGGTCCTAAAGGCATAGATCATCTTTATCATTCTTCAAGTTCAATCTTACATGAAGTTGCATACTGCATGGAGCAAAAGAGGAACGGTGACAAAGCACGGAACCCTGTACAAGTGTGTTGACCCAAAAGCAATCACACCAATAGCAAGAGGAAGTGGAAATTGTGAAGCAGTCTTCAGCAATTTACTGTAAGAAGACAAGACACACATATTATTCTGTGATAATAGAATATGTCAATCTTTTATACAGCATTGAAAATGTTAAGTATTAGAAGTAATTTTAAAGGAAATACTTTCTATGTACTCATCTAGAATCTTGTAAAAGATTAACACAAGCCTTATTTTAGCTAGAAAAATGAGAAAAATAGCATGACCTTAAAAACAGAAAGTTGATAGCCTTTTAAAATTTAAAAACTACTAGCCGGTCTTTTACTCAGGATAAATTGCTATAGGTAGAACTGCTAACAAAAATAAACAACAACATGCATTCTGGTGGTCTAGTAGTAAGAATCTGCACTGCAATGCCAGAGGCACATGGTTTGAATCTGTTAACTGCTCCGTGGGAGAAGGGTGGGGAATCTCCTCCCGTGCAATTACTGCCTCTGAAAACCCGCTGGACAATCAGCTATGGGCAGATTTTGGTTTGATGGCACACAACAGCAACAACAAGAAGAAGACATACTACATTAATGTTTAAACCTACTTCTAAGGGAGCTTCTGGCCTAGTGGTGGCGAGTTGTGCTACAACTCAAAGGCAGGTGGTCTGCATCCGCCAGGGTCTGTGGGAGAAAGATGAGCAATCTCCTCCTGTTCAATTTACAGCTTCTCCCAAAACCCGCTGAAGAGCCAGCTATAAGTCAGTTCTAACAGCACATCAACAACTTACAACAACAAAACAAAAACCAGAAATACCCTCATTTCCAGTAATAGGAACATATAAACAAAACATTAGATATTTTTGAGAGAGATAAATGCTAACAGGAAACCCAATTATCCTTTTCACCCTCAGAAGAGAGCAATTTAGATGAGTTAAGAAACTTATTTATGGACATAAAGCTATTATTAAAGCCAAAATTAAACCCCAGGCTTGCCTGATACTGCTAATCTCTAAAAATAATAGCTCATATGGGTTTCAGAGCAATTACTCAGTCAACAAAAAAGTAAATTTTTACTATAAAGAATTTAAAACATGTATTAAATAAACAGAACTGGATAATGAACCCATATCTATACATTACACAGTCTCAGGAAATCATCATCCATAGCCAACCTTATTTTACCTCTACCTCTATTTACTTCATCTCCTCTGCACTTTTGGGAAGTAAAACCTATACATCCTATCATTTTAAAAATTATTTATCTAAAGAAAAGTACTATTAGTATCATATTCTTAACAGGTAAGCTCTACAATTAAGAAAAGATGGTACATAAAAAATACAATTCCGTGAGTTTCGCTTGGTGCGCGCGGAACCTGGAAAGAGCTGCCAATCTCAGCTCTTTTCCAAGTTTGCAGTTTCGCGGTCAAAGATGGACAAAGTCTGTGCCGTATTTGGAAGCTCCCGGGGCATTGGCAGGGCGGTGGCTCAGTTACTGGCCCAGAAAGGCTACCGACTGGCGATTATTGCCAGGAATATGGAAATGGCCAAAGCTGCCGCTGGGGATCTCAGCGGTGATCACATGGCATTTAGCTGTGATGTGGCCAAAGAAGATGATGTTCAAAATACGTTTGAAGAGATGGAGAAGCACTTAGGTTGAGTTAATTTCTTGGTAAATGCAGCTGGTATTAACAGGGATAGCCTTTTAGTAAGAACTAAAGCTGAAGATATGATATCGCAGCTTCATACTAATCTCTTGGGTTCCATGCTGACATGTAAAGCAGCTGTGAAGACTATGATTCAGCAACAGGTAGGGTCTATTGTTAATGTAGGAAGTGTTGTTGGTCTTAAAGGCAATTCTGGCCAGTCTGTGTACAGTGTGAGTAAAGGAGGATTAGTTGGATTCTCTTGTGCTCTTGCAAAAGAGGTAGCAAGAAAAAAAATGAAAGTGAATGTAGTTGCACCAGGATTTATTCACACAGATATGACAAAAGATTTGAAAGAAGAAAATATAAAGAAAAATATTCCTCTTGGGAGGTTTGGAGAACCGACTGATGTTGCACATGCTGTGGTGTTTCTTTTAGAATCACCCTATATTACAGGGCACGTTTTAGTAGTGGATGGGGGTTACAACTCATAATATAATTTCCAGGTTATTCAATACAGCAACAATAATAATGATAGTTAGAAAAAAAGGGCACATTTTTGTATGGTATCTATGGGGGTGACATTTCCTTATCAATCCTATTAATACTACATCTATTAATTTTTCTTTTTATATAAATATCTGAAAAGAACAATGGCCAATACTATTTCCTAAAGGATATGTATCTTTTATAATTTTAAAGCAGTTTTAATATTTGAACATGCCACAAATAATGTAAACAGTTACCTAGTATGTCTTGAAAATAGAAAAAATGATTGTCTAATATTTCAGAGTTATTACACTAGATTTTCTAGACATTGTCTTTACATACTATTGCTAAATTAAATGTATTTCAACAAAAAGAAATTACAATTCTGTAACGGTTTCATCTTTAAGAGAGGTTAAGATAATGCCAGTTAAAATAAAAATTGTGAGCAGAACTAAAATTTAATAAAGACCCAGAACAAATGTAAAGTAATAAAGACTAAATCACTGTACCTTGATTTTACTGAAGCAGTGTAAGTATTTCCAAGAACTGCAATAGTTGGAATAAGGATGAATGCTAAAGGTTTACATGGATCAGGGTTAAGTTTAAAATAATACCTATATCGGAAAGAAAAAAAGAAAACCGTAATTAACAAGAAAGACTTAGTAATTGTACAACTATTTTGTTGTTGTTATTATGTGCCGTGAAGTCACTTGCGACTCACAGCAACCAAATGTACAACAGCCCTAAACTCTGCTCTGTCCTGTGCCAATTGCACTATCTCCGATACACCCATCGCGATTACCCCAGTCACTGATTCAATCAGCCTCATAGAGGGTCTTCCCCTCCTGCGCTGTCCCTCCACTCTCCCAAGCATGATGTCCCTCTCCAAGGACCAGTCCCTCCTTACAACATGTCCAAAGTATGTCAGACGAAGCCCCAGAATCCTTGCCTCCAAGGAGTAGCTTGGTTTTACCCTCTCCAGGATGAATCTGTTTGTTTTCCTAGCAGTCCATGGTACCCTCAGTCCTCTTCTCCAGCATCACAGCTCAAAGGTATCAATTCTCCTTCTATCCTCCCTAGACATTGTCCAACTCTCTGATGCATAACAAGTGATAGCAAAGACCATGGCCTGTATCAGATGCACCTTAGTCTCCAGAGGCACCATTGCTCTTCAGTACTTTGGAGAGGTCCCTAACAGCCGACTTTCCCATTGCAATAGCCTTTTCATTTCCTGGCTACTGGTGCCAAGAGTGTTGACTGTGGAGCCGAGCAAACTAAAACTGTTAACAATTTCAATCTCTTCACTATCCATCCTGATGCTGCCAATTGGTCCAGTGGTGAGAATCTTTGTCTTCTTGACATTGAGCCTCAATCCATATTGAAGGCTGCGGTCCTTGACCTTCTGCAGCAAGCGCTTCAGGTCCTCCTTAGTTTCAGCAAGCAGGGTTGTGCCATCTGCATAACGCAAATTGTTGACAGACCTTCCACTAATCCTGATGCCACGCTTCTCCTCATAGAGCCCAACCTCTCGGATAATCTGTTCTGCATACAGGTTGAAAAGATATGGAGATAGGACACATCCCTGGTGTATGCCCTTCCCAATTTTGAAGCATGCAGTGTTTCCTTGCTCTGTTCTGATGACTGCCTCTTGGTCCAAGTATAGGTTTCTCATTAGCACGATCAAGTGTTTTGGGATTCCCATTCTTCTCAGAGTCCGCCAGTTTGTTATGATCCACACAGTCAAACACCTTTGCACAGTCAATGAAATATATTACAGTGAAATGTGCAAGGAGTTGGAGTCAGAAAATCAAAAGGGTCGAACTCGCTCAGCATTTCTTAAGCTCAAAGAACTGAAGAACAAATTCAAACCTCAAGTTGCTATAATCAAGGATGCTTTAGAAAGAATATGAAATGATCCAGGAAGTATTAAAAAAAGATGGAAGGAATATACTGAGTCACTGTATAGATAGGAATTGGCAGACACAGAAGAATTTCATGAAATAACATATTAGCAAGAACCTATGGTGATGAAGGAAGAAATTCAGGCTGCTTTGAAGGACATGGCAAAAAATAAGGTCCCAGGAATAGATGGTATACCAATTGACATATTTCAGCTAACAGATGCTGCCCTAGATGTGCTCACCAAGTTGTACCAAGAAATCTGGAGAACAACCACTTGGCCAACTGACTGGAAGAGATCTATATTTGTTCCCATCCCAAAGAAGGATGACCCAACAGTGTGTGGAAACTACAGAACAATATCATTGATTTCACATGCAAGCAAAATTCCACTGAAGATTATCCAAAACCGACTGGAACAGTACATCAGCAGAGAACTGCCAGAAGTCCAGACTGGGTTTAGAAGGGGTCCTGGTACTAGGGATATTGTAGCTAATGTAGATGGATCTTAGCTGAAAGCAGAGAATACCCGAGGAATGTATATCTGTGTTTCATTGACTATGCAAAGGCGTTTGAATGTATGTACAATTATAAGAACCAATCAAAATTCACTTAAAAATTACAGTAGCAACACAGATATTAAAACAACAAGAACAAAACCATCATCTTCCTGCTGCTGAGTTGGATCCAACTCACAGGGACCCTCCAGCTGGTTTTCAAGGCAATGGAAGGAGACTATCAGCCTGTCCATTTGCTGTGGAGAAACTGGGGTTGGAGGTGTGAAGTCTTTAGTTAACAAGGCAACTCATGAGAGACTATTCCCCTACAGCTCCCTAACATGGCATAAATGAGTGCTAAACCAGGCAAAAGCTCTGGTAAGTTTTACTTTGTACCATCTTTTCTTTCCCCTCCATCCATATCATTTTTAAATGTACAGTTGGTATGAGGAATTACATTAGAAATTATGAAAATAAATACTCAATAGAGAACCATTTTTATAATGTCTCTAAGTTCCTATGTATAATTTTTATAGAACAAAAAATGTAAAACATATTACTTGTCAATGAGATGGATTGATTCAGTGCTCTATCCTGTATCAATCTATCTCCCACACACCCACTCCTACTACCCCAGTCACTGAATCAATCGATCTCATTGAGGGTCTTCCCCTCCTGCGCTGTCCCTACAACTTCCCAAGCATGACGCCCCTCTCCAAGGACTGGTCTCCCCTGGCAACTGAAGGCAATGATTAGGAAGAATAGTAAATAAAAATTATTTTGAATAATAAAATACAAGGTCATTTAATTTAGTTAAATGTATCGGGCACAAGAGAAAAAGTATAGCATTGTTTCATTATTTTTAAATGTAAGCACTTTGTTTCACCTATACTTCACCACTGGCCCGACTGGCAGCATCATGATTGATAGTGAAGAGACTGAGATTGTTAACAGCTTTAGTTTGCTTGGCTCTGCAATCAACACTCTTGGTACCAGCAGCCAGGAAATCAAAAGACAAATTGCACTTGGGAAGTCTGCTCTCAGGGACATCTACAGAGTACTGAAGAGCAATGATGTTAGTCTGGAGACTAAGGTGCTATTGATCCTGGCCATGGTCTTCAAAAGTAGGTGCTATGCCCTGGAAAGCTTTACAATGACTAGAGATGACAGAAGAATTGATGCCTTTGTGCTGTGGTGCTGGAGACGAGTACTGAATATACCATGGACTGCTAGGAAAACAAACAGGTTTGCCCTGGAGAGGATGAAGCCAGGGTGTTCCTTGGAGGCAAGGATTCTGAAGCTCTGTCTGACATACTTTGGGTAGGCTGTAAGGAGGGATCAGTACTTGGAGAGAAACATCATACTTGGAAGGGTGGAGGGTCTCCCATCTTAATGAGATGGATTTATTCAATGACTAGGGTAATAGGGGTAGGTGTGTCAGAGACAATAAGGATGGCTCAGGATAGAAAAATTTCCAGAGCTTTTGTACATATGAGCTGTAGGCGATTTAATGGCACATAACAACAATACAACAACATACTTCAGAAAACACGAAAATAGGAAGTGCATTACATATTTAGCATTGTGAACATTTTAGGGAAGTGAAACAAAACACATTCTTATACATGTGGAGACCTAAATAAAAGTATATTTTTACTCTCCTTAAGTTTATAAGGGAGAAATAGAAATATACTGAAAGACATTTCAGGTAATACATAGCTTCTGTTTATTAAGGAAGTTTCTGTGACCATAAGGAATCAAAAGTCTGTACTTACGCCTGTTGTTTGAACCATACAAATTATATTTATACAAATAAAACTCACCTGAGGTTTTTAAACCAATAAATAAACGATGGCATAGTGAGCAACACAATCCATGTCAGTAAGTTCATCACAGTATCGTGCATGTGAAGACTGTCTTCAGCATCACTAGGTGACAAGCCAAGACGGTGTACTGGAGCATCCTTGTGATCAGAATGCTTTCCATTTCTTGAATGTTTGGGATTCTAAAAAATAATAAAGTAAAAAACAGGCTATGGTCATAAAACTTTTTTTACATATACATATATATATTTAACAAAAACAAACATTTCTAACTGTACGAGCTCTGGGTTTGCACATCACTTGAGTTGGATTTGAAAGGTCATATGGAATTCCAGCAGAGAAGAGATGGAGGGCAGGGTCTACACAATCATTTTGCTCATCTGTAAGATGAACTGTCCTCAGTAACCCAATCCACACCTGGCCACAGCGTGCCCCAGTGACCACGTCTTCCCACAGAGGTGCTGTGTGGACATGGCCTGGGTCAGAAGGATGGTGGGTCATGCTCTCCCCCTCGTGGACCAAGGTGACTCCCAGGCCACCTGCTCAGACGCTCTAGGGAGCCTGGCCTCTGGCTGTGCCTGGCCTCTCTGGAGGCAGAGCGTGGTGTTTGCCCTGGCTGAGCAGCTTGTTGCCCACGTGTCTTGTTGTACTTAGGGTTGTGTCCACTTCCTCATATCCTTGGCTGATCCTCATTGGTTTGGTTTTGTTTGACAGATGGGAAATACAGAACACTTGGCCTCCCCTAATGTCCTGTCCCACTGGTCAGAGAGCTATTGATGGCTATCACTTCCCAACCTCTGCCAGGCATCCGTCTTTCCCGATGTGTTCAAATGCACTTTTATTTTTTTTACATGTTATTTTCACTGATGAAAATATACCTATAGAAAGTGACTCAAAACAGAGACAGTAATTTATAACAGGGAGCTCCAGTGGCTTAGTGTTAAGGAGTTGGACTCTTAACCCAAAGGCATGAAGTTCAAATTTACCAGCTGCTCCATGGAAGAAAGATGGGCAATGTCTTCCTGTGAGTTACTGCCCTGAAAACCCACTGGAGGGTCAACGATGGGTTGGTTCTGACTTGCCGGTATACAACAATTTATAACACCCCACACTGACTGTCATACTGACGAAGATCAGAGCAAATGTAATCTCAGCCAATCTTCTTTAGGTTCAGTTTCACCTTATTTCCATTTTTATTGAGATCATTGTGAAAAGTGTACAAAATTGTTTTCCAACCATTTGTATATATTTTATGACATTATAATATACACAATAACTTCATTCTTCCAACTTCTTTCCTGTGGTCTTCACTTCCATTATTTTTCCTGCTCTCTGGGCTTTATCCTTGGGCAAATGCTGCCCTTCTGACCTCAGATGGCTGGTTATTCTAAGGAATGAACGCCTACTGTTATTGTTCACCTTATTGTCTTGTCTAAAGTTTCAAAGGTGACCTGCTGAGGAGAATGTGTTAGGCTGAATGGCAACTAATGGCCACTGCCTTGGGGATTTGACCAGTTTCTACTGGAACAATACTGTTGGTCACTTTTGCATCTCAGTTTTGTTCCTCATTTTCTCCTTTTCTTTCCAGGTCTTCCACTGAATCCTTTCTAGAATAGTCAGCAGTGGTAGCTGGGCATCATCCATTTCTTCTGGTTTCCAGCTCATGGAAGTTGAAGTTCATGTTCCATTAGTATTCTGGACTGTTTCTTTGTAGCTTTGTTTTTCCCCTCCTCTCCTTTGTTCTGGAAAGGAGGAGACTACTACTGCCCTTTAGATGGTGTCTTGAACCTTTTTAAAATTCTAGCCTTTACATACTAAAGTAGGATGAAAAGTTTTGTCTTTGTAGACTGTATGTTATGCCGATTGACCGTGATGTCCTCTAAGACTATGATCTGAAGACCCAGGGCCAGCAACTCATTATCTAAGGGTATATGGTTTTGATTAAGAAGTTTACATAGTCTGTCCTCTCCTGGCTCTGCGGTTAACATTTCTTGAAGTTACTTAAGTTCACAGTAACTTTCAAGGCACTGTAAAATCTCAACCTTTAACAACAACAAAATACCGCTGTATTTTTCCATGTTCATATTAAACTGTTTTCATTTTAAAAAAAGGTGATCTGAAGAGAGTGTGGACCTCTCCAAAATACTGAAAAGCAACAATGCCACTCTAGAGACTACAGTATGCTTGATGCAGTCCATGGTCTTTGCAATTACTACACATCTGATTGCTGAACAAAGACTAACGATGACAGAAGAATCATCAAGTCTTTGAGTTGTAGTGCTGGAGAAGAGTTTGAACAAATCATGGACCACTAAGAAAACAAATAGGTCTGTCTTGGAGAAGGTGAAACCAAGTGTCTTTTTGGAGGCTAGGATTTTGAAGCTCCATCTCACATACTTTGGGCACGTAGCCAGGAGGGAACAATCCTTGGAGAAGGACATCACGCTCGGAAGGGTGGAGGGACAGCTCAGGAGGGGAAGATCCCAGATGAGATGGACTGACACAGTAAGTGGGGTAATGTGAGTAGGTGTGTTGAAATCAGTGAAACCGGCTCAGGACAGGGTAGGCTTCAGAGCTGTTGTACATGGGATTGCTATGAGTTGTAGGTGACTTGATGGCACATAACAACAACAACAACAACAACAACAACATTAAACTGATGCTGACTTTTCAAAATGAAACTTACCTCAGTTTCATTATTTTTAAAAGCTGTTAGGCTGGCTTGAAGATGAACAATCTAAGAAAAAGAAATTACTCTTAATTTTACATTTATTTTGGATGAAACAAACTTTTATTTGAAACAAGGAACACAGAAGCCCAATCCCTTATAGGAAATTGAGACCTATTATTTTAAATTTAATAATATCTAAAGAACTACAAATTCATTTAAACATTTAAAATACACTATTCTAAACAAGATTTTTTAAAAAATACACATGGCTCCTATCATGGATTAACAAAACAAAATTTTCAAAGTACATGAGGCCAGATTATATCGATTGGCACAACATCTATATCAATTGAGTTTATAATTAAACAATGCCTTGCAAGATTTTAAAATGCTTTGTGAATTTAAGAGGTTTCCCATATTACCCATATTTTAAATACCGAAAATATGAAATTTACTATATATGTATCTGTAAAATGCTCATAGAACTTGAAAACAATCTGTAAATTGTTTTATTATTTCTGTAATTTAAGTAATTACTCCAGAAATTTTTTTATACTGCGTTGTTTTAAATATTTTTTAAAGAAACTTTCTGAAACAGGGGATAAAAATAATTATATAAAACAAAATGCACAAACGTGATTCTATAAGAAAAAGGTCCATGACTATCGAAAACATAATGTTAATGAAAGAAACATAATGTATATGAATGATTGTATGCAAATCAATAAAAATGTATAAATATTTATACACATAGAAATGAAACTAAACGTATAATAACTCAACCTATATGCAGAACAGATTATCCGGGAGGCTGGGCTCTATGAGGAGAAATGTGGGGTCAAGATTGGGGGACGATTTATCAACAATCTGCGTTATGCGGATGACACAACCCTGCTTGCTGAAACTGAGGAGGACCTGAAGCTCCTGCTGCAGAGTGTCAAGGACTGCAGCCTACAATATGGATTGAGGCTCAATGTCAAGAAGACAAAGATTCTCACCACTGGACCAATTGGCAGCATCAGGATGGATGGTGAAGAGACTGAGATTGTACACAGCTTTAGTTTGCTTGGCTCCATAGTCAACAGTCTTGGCACCAGCAGCCAGGAAATTAAAAGGTGCATTGCAATGGGAAAGTCTGCTGTTAGGAACCTCTCCAAAGTACTGAAGAGCAATGGTGTCTCTCTGGAGACTAAGGTGCGTCTGATACAGGCCATGGTCTTTGCAATCACTTGTTATGCATCAGAGAGTTGGACAATGACCAAGGAGGATAGAAGGAGAATTGATGCCTTTGAGCTGTGGTCCTGGAGAATACCATGGACTGCTAGGAAAACAAACAGATTTGTCCTGAAAAGGGTTAAACCGGGTGGCTCCTTGGAGGCAAGGATTCTAAGGCTCCGTCTAACATACTTTGGACATGTTGTGAGGAGAGACCGGTCCTTAGAGAGGGACATCATGCTTGGGAGGGTGGAGGGACAGCGCAGGAGAGGAAGGGCCTCTATGAGGTGGATTGATTCAGTGACTAGGATAATTGGGAGGGGAATGTCAGAGACAGTGCGATTGGCACAGGACAGAGCGGAGTTTAGGGCTGTTGTACATAGGGTCGCTATGAGTTGCAGGCAACTCGACGGCACATAACAACAACAAAAATATGAAAAATTTTAAACTGATAATTATCTAAAATGAATATTTATTATTAAAGCAGAATATTGTTGTTGGCTTTTTAAAATTATCCACTCTGGTATCAACTGTCCTTTTAGAAGATCGGTATAGAAAGTATACAGTTGTATAACTTCCTTGTTTTCCTGCAAAACTGAGTGCTTTCTGGGAAATGATTTTACTTCATGAGAAGATTATCAGTCTAATTAATTTTAGAAATATCTACAGATTCTTCAGCAACATTTGTAACATGTTACATCATCTTAGTACTTCTTACAGGGTTCAGATTTGTTGTTCATAGGGTCACTATAGGTCACAGCCAACAGCACCTACCACCACCACCACCTCCACCTCCACCTCCAGCTCCACCACCTCCACAGCCATCGCTACCACCATCACTGCCGCTACCCTGCCCCCATCTTAGTTTGAGTGATAGCTTCCTCCCAGTGAAAGACATTTTGTTCTGTCTCATGTTTAAAAGGTATAAATAAAAACAGTTCCACTAAAAATGTTCATGAAAGTTAACATCACTTTCAAGATAATGACACACTTGAAACACTTTCTTTTCTGTTTTAAAACAAAAATTCAAAATCAGAATACTAATAAATCCCATGTATTTTAAATAAGTGAGATTTAAAATATCTACGCTATATCCTACGTATAAAGTTGAGCTATTTTAGTTGTATTATTTGACATACCTTAAACACATAGTAAAGATATGTAAGAAGGATGGCAAATGCTCCACAAGTTGCCCAACTAACCATGATCAAAACAACGATGATAAAAGACAAATCTAGTGATACTGCCTTGATATTCTTAGGAAGCTCAGAGGGTCTGGAATAAAAAGAATAAAGCTTGTTATAATAATTCACAACTACACATAAGAATTAGTTATCGAGTCAGATTTAAGAAAACAATATAGTGCCTTGCCAAACTTTCCTGCTTACTAATAAAAACATTTCAGAAGGTAAGAAAGACATTTTTGGCAAACAGTCCATATATTTGAATACAAGATCTTTAATACTAAGTAACCTCCAAACTTGTCTTCCAGTCAAATACACTATGGCTACCATTTATACTAAGGAAGAAAAGCCACTGAAAAATATAATATTTACAGGCCAAATCATGCGTCTCAAATCTTGACATGAAGAACAATGTTCTATTACTTACAGTCTCAAGGTCCTTCAGATGATGTCAAGTATGGACCAGAAAATTCTAGCAGTATTTGAAAACAAACTTCATCTTTGGGTCTAGACTAAATCTCGAGGCCATATTTCTGTAACTGTTAAAACGCCTCATCTATGCTGACCCAAATGTCTTGACTGAATTCTTCTACCCTTGTTTTGGGTTATAGAAGTCAACACATAAAAAAAAAAAAAATTCCTGGGAAAATTTATTCCACAGTAATAAAAAATCCTCTCAAACACACTTTCTTACTTGTGAAACTTTTTTTAACTAGGTGTTTAGCACTAAGTTAAAAATCAAAGGTAGGATTTATCTTGCAATAAGTGATTTGTTTTGATAATGATATAACGTAAACACTAATACATGTCTTATATAGCTGTCATCTTTCCTTACAAAGTTTACTTATAAAACACTGACAATTTCAAAGTTCTTTGTATGGGTGCATGTGTGTGTGTTAACAGCAACAAGAAAGCTTCTAGTGTCATTCGTCGTTTACCTTTTCAAAAGCAGCCACAATGAAGAAAGGAGTCTCAGAGACATTGAAGAGAGGAGGCCACCCCAGTAAGCAGTACACGTTCCAAACAGAAAAAGAACCAAGGACACAAGGGGGAAACACACACTCTGATTGGTTAAAATTATAGCATCTAATTCTGGTAACAATAACGTGTCCCATAATTCTTTAAACCACTTATACCTGTGGATAAGAGAAAACATACAATGAAAGAAAAATAATTAACAGTTGGCTTTCAAAGATTTACTGTTCAAAGTATCTGACAACTTATTAGAGTCCCTAAAGTTTTATGATGCTCAGTATTTTACTATTTTCCTGAAAAAAAAAAAATTTGTAATGCATTTTATGAAACAAGCCATTGATCTTGCAAATAAGTTTACTGATTCGATGAAATCTTACTGCTTTATATAGATCCTTGTGTAAAGTAATACAGTTTCTGTTGTTGATAGAAACAACAGATTTTAGGAGTGATTAAGAAAATCCAAAAAATTAAATGGTTTTTAACCAAATTATGTAAAAGGTAAATAAATTATGAACTTAAAGAAAACCTCAAACTCATTGCTATTAAGTCAGAACCAACTCACAGCTGACTGTCCACCCAGTTTTCAGAGGCTGTAAATCGCATAGAAGACAACTGTGCATCTTTCTCCTAAGGAACTACAGGTGGATTCGAACCACAAGAGACAGAACCTTTAGATCAACAGTGCACTTCCCTGCCCACTAGGAGGGCCCTAAATTAGGAACAGACTTATTAAATAGGATGTACCACTGAGTTGGAAATATCTTACATAGCTAACCCTCTAGTGGATTTTCAGAGGCAGTTAAACAGGAATAGCTGGGGCATTCAAACTGCATGCCTTTGGAGTGGCAGCACAACACCTTACCACTAAACTACCATTGTTGTTATGTGCTGTCGAATCAACAACTCATAGCAACCCTATGAACAATGGCTCTGACCCTTGTCCTATCCTGAGCCAACCTCACCACCTCCAATACACCTGACCCCACTGTCACAGTCACTGTGTCACTCCATTTCATCCAGGGTCTTCCTTTCTTTTATTGACCTTCTACCTTTCCAAGCATGATGTTCTTCTCCAAGGACTGGCTGCTACTCTTGACAATATCCCCTACTTTGTATGGAAAAAAAGTCTGCAGTAATGCTTCATCAATAACCTACAATGATTTGTATTAATAGTTCTCAGATTTTCCAGGGTCCAAATAGATGAACCACACTTATTTCTTTGCAATTGTTTTATTCTAAGCTTAGAGTGATGTGTTGTAAGTTGCCGTCAAATCAATTGTGACTCATGGCAACCACATCTGTTCTCTGTAGGGTTTTCAAGGCAATAGTCTATTAGAAATAGATCACTAGGTCGTTCGTCTGTGGAGCCCATGGGTTTGAATCACCAATGTCTTGGTAGTAGTCAGGTATCTAACCATTTCCACACCCAAGGAATAGATTGGAGTATATGTTGCTGTTGTTGTTATTGTATACTGTTAAGTCAGAACCAAACCACAGCCAACCCTTGGGTGGGTTTTCAGAGGCAGTAATTGTATGGAAGGAGATTGCCATCCTTCCCCGAGGAGCAGCTGCTGGAATCAAACCATGTGCCTTTGCGATGGCAGTGCAGATTATTGCCACTAGATTTTCCTACTGCTATACTAAGTTCAAAAGTGACTGGAATAACACATCAGCAGAAAACTGCCAGAAGTCCAGGCTGGGTTTAGAAGGGGTCGTGGTACTAGGGATATTGTAGCTAATGTTAGAGGGATCTTAGATGAAAGCAGGGAGTACCAGAGGAATGTCTATCTGTGTTTCATTGACTATGCAAAGTTTGACTGTGTGGATCATAACAAATTGTGGCTGACTCTGAGAAGAATGGGAATACCAAAACACTTGATCGTGCTAATGAGAAATCTCTACTGGGACCAAGAGGCAGTAATCAGAACAGAACAAGGAAACAGTGCATGGTTCAAAATTGGGAAGGGTGTATGCCAGGGATGTGTCCTGGCTCCATACCTTTTCAACCTGTATGCAGAACAGATTATCCGGGAGGCTGGGATCTATGAGGAGAAATGTGGGGTCAAGATTGGTGGAAGATCTGTCAACAATCTGCTATATGCAGATGATACAACTCTGCTTGTTGAAACTGAGGAGGACCTGAAGCGCTTGCTGCAGACGGTCAAGGACTGCAGCTTCCAATATGGATTGAGGCTCAATGTCAAGAAGACAAAGATTCTCACCACTGGACCAATTGGTAGCATTAGGATGGATGGTGAAGAGATTGAGATTGTTCACAGCTTCAGTTTGCTTGGCTCCACAGTCAACACTCTTGGCACCAATAGCCAAGAAATTAAAAGACGTATTGCCGTGGGAAAGTCTGCTATTAGGGACCTCTCCAAAGTACTGAAAAGCAATGGTGTCTCTCTGGAGACTAAGGTGCGTCTGATACAGGCCACGGTCTTTGCTATCACTTATTATGCATCAGAGAGTTGGACAATGACTAAGGAGGATAGAAGGAGAATTGATGCCTTTGAGCTGTGGTGCTGGAGAAAAGTATTGAGGGTACCATGGACTGCTAGGAAAACAGATTCACCCTAGAGAGGGTTAAACCAGGCTGCTCCTTGGAGGCAAGGATTCTAAGGCTCCATCTAACATACTTTGGACATGTTGCAAGGAGGGACAGGTCCTTGGAGAGGGACATCATGCTTGGTGGGGTGGAGGGACAGCGCAGAAGGGGAAGGCCCCCTATGAGGTGGACTGATTCAGTGACTGGGGTAATTGGGATGGGTGTATCAGAGATAGTGTGATTGGCACAGGGCAGAGCAGAGTTTAGGGATGTTGTACATAGGGTCGCTATGAGTTGCAAGCAACTCGACGGCACATAACAACAACAATACTAAGTTCAAGAACTATTTTTAAAAGAAAAGTTTATTTTTTTAAAAATACTCAGTTAAATGACTGTATTAAGCAGCATATATATGGATGAAATACTATATATATGAATGATTACAGGAAAATCAATTTAAAAAGGAAAGAGAGTAGGGGGGAAAGTCTAACCAAAAACAATCACTGAAAATTCAATTGTAAATGTTAATACACTTATTAGATCTTCACTTAAATAGAAAAATTTCATTTACTCAATGAAGCCAATCTTTGAATTTGTATATAAAACATTATGTTAAATGATTTATGTTAAATGCAATATATAACACAAAATAAATTAACATCATTATCATTGCTAATAAGTCTTACCCCAGCAGAAATTTAACCATAATTACAAAAGGGTCAACTTTATAAGATTTGACTTCTTTATCCAACATAGTAGTATATTCTAAGCAATGACCTAGAAATTAAAAAAAATACATATTAAAATTACATTAATTGGAAAATGCATATTAAGTACTCTATATTATATCCGACTTTGTCATTAAGTACAACACATTCCCTATCAGAGAAAGAAAGGTCTTTAATATTGTTACAGACTCCTCTTGAGAGATTACAGTTACTGTATTGTGGTTATACATTAAAATCACTTGAAGAATTTTTTTAAAAAAAACTCTAGTTGCCACACACCCATGTTTATCGCGGCTTTGTTCACAATAGCAAAGAGCTGGAAACAACCTGTGTGCCCATCAACAAACAAATGGATAGAGAAGCTCTGGTATATTCACACAAAGGAATACTATGCAGCATTGAAAAACAAGGAACTCATGAAATATTATGCAAAATGGATGACCCTGGAGGACATTATGCTGAGTGCAATATCTCAGTCACAAAAAGACAAATATTGCATAGGGCCACTGTTGTAAAACAGGACTGACATTGGAGTTGAGGAAAGACAGAGAAGGAGGGGAGGAATGATGTATATATTGCATTGAAACAGATGAGGGAGAGAACTGTTTAAAAGGTATATATGAATGGGTGTTCTTGTCATGACAGGAGTTCAGAATGAAGACTGCATAGTGGAGTGGACTTGGGGGGAGGGACTGTATAACAATGAAAGAGTTTTTCTTTTACTTTTCAAGAAGAAGAGTGAATTGGGGGTAAAAGGGGGCAGGGAGAAAAGTGCAACAATGAATAACAGGAAACACTAAGTCTCTGTAAACTTTCATTAAAATGAATTAAAAAAAAAACCCGAACAAGAAAAAACAAAACAAAAAAAAAACCCTCTAGTTGCTCAGATGCCATTAGAAGAAAATAATTTTCAGGAAATGAAGTATTAGAATTTCACTATCTGTAGTATTTTCACTGAATGAGTTCCGTCTCCCCTCATACAGTTTTACTGAGACAGAATGACACACCATTCACCCTTTTAAAGTGCATGATTCAATGATTTTTGCTATACTTAGAGTTGGGCATCCACTACAGTAATCAATTTTAGAACATTTTCATTATCCCCCAGGAAATTGTTCTTCGTTGTCTCACCACAGTCCTCACCCGGGCACTCCTCATTGCCGCTGAGCTGGAACCAGCTCTTGGGTTTCTAAGGCCGTAAATCACACCGGAGGAGACTGCTCATCTTTTCTCGTGGAGCAGCTGGTGGGTTCAGGCTGGCAGAAGCACAGCCTTTGGGCCAGCACTGCAGCTCTCCATGGACTAGGGAACCAGCAGTCCACCTGGCACTGTATAACTTGACTTGGTCTGGATATTTCAAATCAATGTAATTGCATGTAGATTTTTGTGAATGGCTTCTTTTACTTAGGGAACGGTTTTCAAGGTTCATCCGCTTGTATATCCATTTTACATTTCATCAATTTATGGTTATCTGGTTTATTTTTACTCATTTGCTATTGTGGGGGCACGCTGGTGGCACAGTCTCTAGTGAGTTGCATGGATAAGAAAAGGCTACAAGCCTCAGGTGGTTTGAAACCAGTGTTTGGTGGGAGAAAGGTAAGAAGGCTGCTCCTGGGTGAATCACAGCCTCGGACTCCTTCTGGGGGGGGTCACTGTGGGACAGTGGGAGCTGAAGTGATGGCAGTGAGTTTGAGGATTTTTTTTGTTTTGCTACTATGAATAATACTGCTATGCACTTTTGTGTATACATTTCTGTGTGCATATATGTTTTCCTTTCTCTTAGGTATGTCCCTAGGAGCGGAGGTGCTGGGCCAGGTGGTAATTAAACCCTAAGATGGCTTCCTATCACTACAATACTACTTGCAGAATATGTGGGTTTCAATTCTTAACATCCTTAACAGTTTCATTATCTATCTTTTTTATGGTAGCCACTCTAGTGAGTATGATCTATAGTTGACTTTTTAATATGCATTCGTGATTCATAACTACTGCTTTAATTGGTTTCACACAGAATTCCGTATCGAAAACTTTTAGACTAACCAACATCTTATTTATCAGAGGGTTCACTATAAACTAGCCATATATAAATCATATGATCAATTACAAAAAACTACTTAGGATGAGGAAGACATTAAGTCAAGTCTGGTTCATATCATATTATCATATTTTAATTAAAAACTTGAGTGTTGTGTTGTTAAGTGCCATCGAGTTGTAAACAACTCATTGTGTGACCCTATGAATGAACGATCTGAACACTTGTATCATTTCTCCACCTTCATAGAGTTTCTGGAGGCAAGCTATTTCGGAAGTGGATGCCAATCCTGCTTCCAAGTTTGTTTTAATTGGGGAACCCCACCTAACAGTGTCCACTATGGGTAACCATTATGCATCTGACACATCAGTGTCACAGTGTTCAGCATCACAGCAATCCCGAGTTACCTCTGTACAGCAAACGGACAGATCAGTGCTACACTACTTAGAAGAATGTTTGACCAAAAACAATTAAAATTAGGCCTGAGAGTTGCAGATTAAAATCACCCACCTTTGGCTTGGCAGCATAACTTTCTATCCACTATGCTAAAATAGGCGAAAATGAATACTGAAGAGATTCTGAGTTTTATAAAAGTTATTGGAAGACAATGAGTAGCTGTGAAAAGATGTGGCAAGCCAGAATTAGTGGAAGAAAATTATGGACTGATTTCTTTTGTACTTTGGTCCATATCTCTTTTCCTATCTCCTACCTTCTCTGAACATTGTTCAAGCCCAACACGTGTATGCAGGATAGGCTCCTAGGAAATGAACTGTAATTCAGGGAGAGTTTTGTTATATATTCTACATATGCCTCCCTAGATCAATTTTCCACCATTCACTTTACACTGAGCCCTGAGAGGCTAGCTTTGTGGATGAGCTTCCAGTTCGGTTCTGTGAACAGGGAGGCACAGCAGGTAGAGGTGGAGAAGATGGAGTTGGTGTTTATTACCCTGTCTCTTCTCTGACAAACCCCAGCTTGGTAGTCAATGGAATGACCTTACATCAAAGCTCCAGTAGTATCTTCTTCAAAAGGTTCTAAGTGCACTCCTTTTCTTTGCTCTTCAGTTGAAGAGTACTAGATAACCCTGTTGTCGGCCCAGCGCTTCATCAGTCCCTGTCGGTGTCTCTTAACCTTGCACATACCTTTGAAACAGTCCCTTCATCCAGCTTTCCATTATTGTAGTCAGTGCACCAGGACCTAACAAACTAATAGAGTTGGTAATGACCAAATATGACCCCAGACACCTATTATGTGTACCCGGGGCAATGAAGGAGGTGCCAAGAAGAGAATGAAGAACAAGGAAATCTTGAAGAGAAGTTGTCTGACACCTTCTGACGTCTGGCATTCTGATGCCAGCGAGAAACTTCAGGCACATGTCTAATTTCAAAGCGATGAAGGAATCTTCTTGAGGATTTCTTAAAACTCCCAGCAAATTTGGGAGGGGACAGATCATGAATTTTCAAGAAATTTATCTATCTTTCTTAATGACATGTAGAATGGAAAAAGCATTAAGAAGCAATGGCCCATATACTTTAAAAAAAAGAAAGAGAAAAAAATCAGGATGACATGAAAAGAAAGTAGGGCATAGATCCATTTCAGATTGCATTAGGTCTTCAAAATATGTGTGGAAAATGAGCCACTGTATCTGTAACTACAACTCTATTTACAAATATGATTTCCTTTTCTTAGGCAAATGAATAGGTGAGTCCAAAATGAAATAACTTCTGAGTTATGAAAAATGGCAGTATAAACACAGAGACACACATGGAAGGAAGACAGACAAGACTTCTGAGAAATATATCTACAAAGACTTGGGGCAGTTACTAGAAGCAGAAATAGACAACGAGTCTAGACCCCTAGAGTCAAGATCTGAATTCAGACTTTGAGCCTCCTGACCTGTGAGAGAATTCACTTCTGGCACCAATTTGTGGCGTTTCTGTTACACAGCACAAGTAACTTAGTCAAAATCTGAAGGATATTGAAAAAACTTTGAAGAGCAGCTAAGACAGAGAAGAGTTATGATTAAAATGGACCTGAGTGCTTCCAAACAGAGCAAGTTGTTAGCTAGCACCCAGTCAACCGCAACTCTGCGAAAAACAGACCTGCACTCTGTCCTAATATATAGCATCCTCCTGATCTCGGATATACTTGAGCCCGCTGTTACAGTCACTGGGTCACCCTGTCTTGTCAGGGAGTCTTCCTCCTGCTCCGGCCCTCCACCGTTTTCAGCAAGATGTCCTGCTCCAAGGACTCATTCCTCTGATGACATGGCTGAAGTATGTCAGTTGAAGTTTCACTATCCTTGCCTCTAAGCAGTACTCTGGTTGCATTTCCCCCAAGAAACACTTACTTGCTCTTTTGACAGAAGCATAATAAAACCCAAAATACACTCTTGAAAAGAAAGAGAAAAAAAGAACAGCCCAAATCTTATTAAAACTCAAGCTTTAATTACCAATTTGTACGCAACTGGAAAAAAAAATAGCAGAAAATGTTCAACTGCATCATAAGCAGGCAATCAGCAAACTTCAGACTGTGGGAAACTCAGTAGCACAACCAACCACATTAGTTCAAGAAGTGGATTACAAGGTGAGAGGAAGAGAAAGGCCTTGGAACCTGCAGACTGAGAAACTTCCATAGACCAACTAAATAATGTGCACGTTTTATTTGAATACTGCTAAAATTATTAAAACTTTATTGGGAAATATAAAGCATTATTACTAATTTTTTAAATTTTTTTGCATTATTCCTAATTTTTTGTGTTAACAGTTAAAAGGACTTTTTAGTCCTTTTAAAAGGACTAATATTAAAGACATAAATATTGAAAAAATTATTACATGGACATTTTCTTGTCCAAATCCTCAATGGACTTTAAAAAAAAATCCACAAAACAACAAGAAGACTAAGAGTTAACACTGAAAGAAATGTATCCCACAAGAAAATGTTAACCATTTGCAGGCTTTAAGACTATAAACTGAAAGTCTTTAGGCTTGTTGTTCAAAGATGTAAAAAAGCTGATCATAAACCACCCGTTACTTTGAAGAGTCCTTGTCAGCAGTCTTAACTACTAATATGTGGCTATTTTTAAGAAGTCCTTTATTATGCTTAACAAATAATTCAATATATTGTTGTTAGTGCTATGGAGTCGAGGACAAGTCATAGCAATCCTATGAACAGTAGATGTGAAATGTGTCCTATATCTGATTTTTTGGGCCCATTGCTACAGTCACTATGTGAATCCACCTTGTTGAGTGTCTTCCTCTCTTTCACCGACCCTCCACCCTTTCAAGTATGATGTCCCTTTCAAAGAAATAGTTCCTAACAACACGTCCAAAGTATATGAGACGAAGCTTTGTCATTTCTGCCTCTGTGGAGCACTCTGGCTATCCTTTCTCTAATACGTAACTTCTTGTTCATTTGGCATTCGTGGAATATTCAGTACTCTTCTCCAGTACCACATCTCAGATTCTTCTTTCAGCCGTATTCACTGTCCAGTACTCAGATACACAGCAAGAGACTGAAAATATGATGGTTTGAATCAGGAGCATCTCAGTCTTTAAAGTGACATCACTGCTCATTAGTACCTTGGAAAAGTCCTTGACAAGAGACTTTTTCAGTGCAGTATGTCTTTTCATTTCTTGACTGATAATACCACAGATGTTGATTGTGGATCCACGTATGATGAAATTGTTGAAAACGTCAATCTTTTCTCCATCTATCATGATGTTGTCATCTGTCCACCGGGAGGATTTCTGCCTTCTTGACGTTGAGATGTAATCCATATCGAAGTCTGCAGTCTTTAATATTATGCACTAAGCATTTCAAATCCTCCTTGCTTTCAGCAATCAAGGTCGTGTCATCTGCATAATGCAAGTTGTTGAGGTATCTTCCTTCATTGTAATTCCATATTCTTATTCACAAAGTCTGTTGTTGTTGTTGTTATGTGCCGTCGAGTCGTTTCCGACTCATAGCGACCCTATGCACAACAGCCCTAAACCCTGCTCTATCCTGCGCCAACTGCACTGCCTCTGACACACCCATCCCGATTGCCCCAGTCACTGAATCGATCCATCTCATAGAGGGTCTTCCCCTCCTGCGTTGTCCCTCCACCCTCCCAAGCATGATGTCCCTCTCCAAGGACCCGTCCCTCCTGGCAACATGTCCAAAGTATGTCAGACGAAGCCCCAGAATCCTTGCCTCCAAGGAGTAGCTTGGTTTAATCCTCTCCAAGATAAATCTGTTTGTTTTCCTGGCAGTCCAGGGTACATACAGTACCCTTCTCCAGCACCATAGCTCAAAAGCATCCACTCTCCTTCTGTCCTCCCTAGTCATTGTCCAACTCTCTGATGCATAACAAGCGATTGCAAAGACCATGGCCTGTATCAGGCGCACCTTAGTCTCCAGAGAGACACTGTTGCTCCTGAGTACTTTAGAGAGGTCCCTAACAGCAGACTTTCTCATCGCGATATGCTTTTTGATTTCCTGACTGCTGGTGCCAAGAGTGTTGACTGTGGAGCCAAGCAAACTGAAGTCTAGTTTCTTAAATTATTTGCCCAGTATGCAGACTGAATAGGTATGGAGAAAGAATATAGCCCAGACAAGCCAGCTTTCTACCAAATGATAGAATTAATTTAACTATGTGAAGAATGGGAATCTCAGAATTAATTATGCTCATGAGGAACTTAAACCTAGACCAAGAGGCTGTTGTGCAAACAGAGCAGGGGAATACTACATGGTCTACACTTGAGAAAGCTATGTGTCAGGGTTGTTTCCTTTCTCCATACCTATTCAGTCTATAAGCTGACACTGAATAATCAATCCATCAAAACCCTTGGTACCAGCAGTCAGGAGATCAACAGATAGATTTGCACTGGGAAAGTCTACAGTCAGAGACCTCTTCAAATTATCAAGGAACAATTATAGCAGTTTGAAGACGATGGTGGTGTCTGATTCAGCCCATGGTCTTTTTAATCACTTACTATGTATCTGAGAGCTGGACGATGATAAGAATGATAGAAGACAAACTCATGCCTCTGAGCTGTGGTCTGTGGTGTTGAAGAAGAGTACTGAACATTCCATGGATTGCAAAAAGAACAGATAAGTCTTGGAGAAAGTGCAGCCAGAGTGCTCCTTAGAGGCAAAGATGATAAAGCTTCATCTCACACACTCTGGGCATGCAGCCAGGAGAGGTACATCATTTTTGGAAAGGTGGAGGCTTGGTAAAAGAGAAGATGACCTTCCTTGAGATGGACTGACAGTGTCCGCAGCAAGGGGTTCATGTGTGTCAGGGATGACGAGGGCACAGGATAGGACAGATTCCAATCTGTTGTTTATAGAGTTGTTAAGAGTTATATTTGAGAGCATCTAACAACAACAACAACATATATAAGACTAATAGATTTTATACTTTGAATCTTCATGTAAAAATAATAAACATTCTTACCTGTTGAGAAAAGAGAGTATAATTGTCCTCCATAAGTAAGAAGAATACTGGATACAATGTAGGCAGGAAGAGCTCCACCATGAAATCTTATTATCTAAAAAAACAGCCAAATCAATGGGCAACTTAACATTCTTGTTAATGAAATCAATGTATTCTGGCAAGAAATATAATGTCATTTTTCACTTAATACCCTTCCTTATATGACCACAAATACAGTGTCAGTCTGTCGGTCTGTCTTGGAGGGTAAAACCAAGTCCCTTCTTGGAAGCTAAGATTTTGAAGCTATGCCTCATTTACTTGGGCATGTGGTCAAGAGAGATCAGTCCTTGGAGAAGGATATCATGCTCAGAAGGGTGGACGGACAGCGTAGGAGAGGGAGATCCCAGAGGAGATGAATTGATACAGTTACTGGGGCATTGGGGCGTTAGTGTGTTGGAATTAGTGACACTGGCTCAGGACAGGGAAGGGTTCAGAGCTGCTGTATGTGGGGTCGCTATGCATCGCAGGCGACTCAAGCACACATAACAATGATAACATACTCTGACAGGCTGGAAGCAGGAGTGGCATCCACTTCCTAAACAAAATGTCTCCAGAAACTCTATGAACTTTGATAAACGTTGATAGTTGTAAAGGGGCTTTGTTGCCTTTTATACTGAGTAGGCAAATGTTCATTTATTTGATGGGACCCATAGATTTTCCTAAACAATGAATTATAATACACTATGAATAACATAAAATGTGAATTTGATAATCATTTTGCAAAAATCTTTATTCATTTGAGAATCTGATTGTCAGTTCTTTCTAGAATGTATTTCTAATAGGTATCATTTAAAGGATCACCTTAAAGACTGTCTACCCATGGTCTGCCTTATAGCATCTACTCACAAGAATATTAAGTAAACAACCAAGAATCTCTCTTACCTGTCCAAGTATTTGTGGAAAGGAGGTCCTAATTGTAACCTAGTTTAAAACAATTAAAAAAAATTATTATTTCTCATAAATACCTCTAGCTCTTATTTCGTTAAAATGAGCATTTCTACATGTCTCTAAATATCATAATTTCTTATAATGATATTCCAAATGCAGTCAAGATCTCACAGAATTTTCTAAATCACCTACATTTAAATTGAACGTCATGTCTGGAATGGTGGAGGGACAGTGCAGGAGAGGAAGACCCTTGATAAGATGGATTGATTGAGTGGGTAATGGGGGTAAGTGTGTCAGAGACAATCAACTGGCACAGGCTAGAGCAGGGTTTAGGGTTGTTGTACATAGGGTCGCTGTGAGCCGCAGGCGATTTGGTGGCACATACCAACACAGGCAGTGTTAAGAAACTTTTCCTATATTGGAATTTTTTTGGCCACTGGATGAATATGATGATACATGTGACAACTCCTTATCAATTAGAACATCTAACAAACTTTTTGTTGATTGCCGTTGAGTCATAGCAATTCTATGAACAAAAGATCTAACACCTTTCCATAGCTATCGTGGTTTCTCCAAGTTCACAGAGTTTCCAGAGGCATGTGGTTTAGGAAGTGGATGCCACTCCTGCTTCCAAACCTGTTTTACAGAGAGGAGCTCCACCAAACACTGTCCACAATGGGAAACCATTATGGTACTGCAATGGCACAAGGTTCAGCATCACAGCAAACCCAGGTTACTTCGTACAGCACATTGACAAGGAGTGATGTAAAGTGGAAGAATGTTCCTCCAGATATAACAGCACTAGTCTCAGTTAGCAATGGTTAAGTGTTGTCAAGTCAAATACGACTCAGAGTAAACTTTGCACAAAAGAACTGTACTCTGTTCTGTAACTAACATAATTTCTGTACATTTATAAGAGAGTTCTAACAAACTAGAATAGTTTATTCCCAGATCATGTAAACGAAACTTACTTAATGAATGACTAAGTCAGTATCTTTGTGAAATAAATACTGTATAAATTAAATCCCACATATTTATTAATAAAACTGGAAGTCATTAACGTCAATGAAAGAAAATCTTTAACATAACTGAATAAAGGTGGTAAATGAGTAACATACAAAATACTACAGTAAAGCCATGTCAACTGATTTCATGATGTTCTTCTTTTTATAGAGGATTCTGGACTTTCGACTACAATTAGGGCAATGTGGGTAGGTGTGTCAGAGACAGTGAGACTGACTCAGGACAAGGAAGGCATCAGAGCCGTGGTATACAGAGTTTGCTGTGAGATGATGACTCGATGGCACCTAACAACCACTACCACCACTGTAAACCACAAAGTCAGCAATGAGTCAGCTGTGATTCAGTGGCACATACAACCACAAACACCACTCTAAAACCTGGCACACTAAGCTGATCCAACAGCACCATAGAAGAAAGTCTTGGTTATCTGCTTTTGTAAAGATTACAGCAAAACACTACGGAGCAAGTGTACTCTGTAAGATGTCAGGTGCCACGAGGCAGAAGAGACTCAATGACAAGAGCAGTTTTTTTAAACAGCCAATTCCTTATTTCCCTGGCCCAGTCACAAGTCCTCCCACTGTCCCTGCCTGCATGCTGCCTGCTCAACCACTGGCTCAGAATGTCAGATGGGGACAGTTTTGGTTCTTTTCCTGACAAACTGCAGGTACAGAACAGGTAGCTCTGAGCATTAATTTCTGTGCAAATGGTTTTTATTATAAATATCTAACTAGGTTTGAAATGTTTTCTAGAATAAGACAACATTCTTTCTAACAAAGTTTTAAGTAAAAGGTACAGTTTCATTGTCGGTTTCAAGCTATCTACACCCCTATGTCTACTTCCCCCCACCTCACTGCCCCACCCCGGCAGCCCCCGTTTTCCTTAGTTGTGTTTTGGGGAGTGCCTAGCACCCTCAGAGATCACTTCGACAGGGGTTTTTATCACTCTTGTTGTTTTTGGTTTGTTTTATGTCTTATCTTCCTAGCTTCCCTACCATCATAAATTTGAAGTAATATAAAAAAAAAGTAGTTCCAGCTTATTTCATGATGAAATCTTATTCCAAAATTAAGCAAACATACAACTCACCTCATAATGACAGTTTGAAGATGTGTGCATTTTTAATAACGCCACATGGGTGTAATTATCTGGTTGAGCAATATGGAGTTTCAGAGAAATTTCTGTGGAAGATGGAACTCTGAAATATTGTTCAATATAAATTCTTAAATACAAAATTATAATCAATAACTGTGGTTAAATCCCCCTTAGTATAATTAAAAAAAATATACAAGAAGCTAGATACTAGACATCTGAAAATGTATACTGATAAATGGTTACTTTTCAAAGTCACATGAACATATCTTTGAATGTCACCAACTGACCACAGGAATTATAGGATAAGATAGAAAGGAGTTTACTTTTCCAAACAAGATTTAGTTTATATGTAATTTTAAAAAGAATATTTTAAATTATAGCACAAAGTTACTACATAAAATATGTACATAAACCTTATGTTTGAATACATTTTTATCATACATTTAGTATATGATTTAAATATATACAATTCATACACTATCTATTATCCTCAAACACTGAATATCATATTATTTCTTAAAGTTAATATTCTTACTGTGCAATGGTGAGTGAATCTTCATAAGACCAGGGAATATGAAGTTTGTAAATACTTGTTATTTCTTCTGTTAAAACAAAGAATAATTTTGTTTTAGCAACTATTATGCCAAATGTTACAGAAGCCACTACAATATATAGCTATTTACACAAACACCCTTTACAATAAATTATAAATAATTACAATAAAATAAACAAGTAGTAAATTAGATTCTCAGAAATTATATTAGAGCATATGAGAAATATTAAGCATTGAAAAACATTCAATAGCTAAATTACTACTATAAAAAAATAGAAAAGAGAAAGATGCTCACTGTTAAGAAAATGTCTATGTCTAATTCTTTAGAAATAGAAACAGTCTAGTGTTTATGTTACCATATATTAAATTAGAAACATTTAATTAAGTTAAATATTATAGAAAATCCAAGTGAAGACTTTATAATTTATCAAATGACAATACTATTTCTTAAAAGGTATTTACCTTTGACTCCTGAACACTTGCTCACCACGTTGATTTTAAAAGCTTGGTATATCTAATCAAGTTTGACCACCAAAAACAAACAAACACAAAACACAAATATTTACTCATTTGCTACACAGTAAAGTAAAATCAAGCCCTTCTTGGTATAGTCAGGATAATTACCTGTGTAAAGTTCAGGAGCTCTACATTGTAAAACAAACCACTTGTATTTAATGTCACTGTCCTAGAAGATAATCCTGTTGAATTAAAGGTACTATATTACTCAGAATACAAAAGAACGAAGAAACATGTACTAGTTGCTTAAACAATGACAAAAGAATTTCTAATACAAAAGACTACTGCACAGATTTTTTTATTCCAGTATTAAAACTTGAGCTCCACAATAAATTCTGGATTTCCTAACCATCTTGATGTGGTGGTGTTGATTGCTGTCGAGTCGAGCAAAACTCAGAGGGACCCTATGAACAAATGAAGTTGAAGCATTTCTAAAAATATCATTTCTCAAAGATCATAGAAATTTCCAGAGGCATATAGTTTAGGAAATGGATAAGTTTAGGAAATGGATAAGTTTTTATGTACATAGTGTCAATGTCAGAAAGATAGGTTTCCTTATTTCTCAAGGTTGCTATGTTTTTTTTTAAAGTTTTTTTTTTTTAGTTGCTATCTTTAATGATATTGGTAATTCAGAGTTATCATCAATTATCTTTACAAACGGAGTAACATATACACATACACACACATTTTTCTTTAAAAGGACAGGGATATGCCAAAGGGCACAGAAGTCAATCTGAAAGAGCTTTCATAAGGCCAAAAGAATAAAAACCCAACGCAAGTACTATATTTTAACCCAGTAAATATCTATGCATTCATACTGATATGTTGTTGTTATGTGCCATCAAGTCACCTTCAACTCATAGCAACCCCATGTACAATAGATCTGAACCCTGCCTGATCCTGAGCCAACCTTTTTGTCTCTGATACACCTGTCCCTATTACTCCAGTTACTAGTCAATCCATCTCATCAAGGGTCTCTCTCTGTCCCTCTACCCTCCAAGCATAATGTACCTGTTCAGGGACTGGTCCCTCCCTACAACATGCCCAAAGTATGTTAGACGAAGCTTCAGAATCCTTGTCTCCAAGGAACAGCCTGGTTTCACCCTCTCCTGGATGAACCTGTTTGTTCTCCTAGAAGTCTGTGGTACATTCAACACTCTTTTCCAGCACCACAGCTCAAAGGCATCAACTTTCCTTCTGTCATCCCTATTTATTGTCCAGCTTTCTGATATATAGCATGTAATTGTAAAGACCATACAGTGAACAATAAAGTAAATGGGGAGGTGGGGTGCTATTTTTCTCTCTTATGAAGAATTAATTAACAAATGTAGAAGAAATTCGTTAACTGCAGATTACCACTGAAAACCCATAGTGGTAACTGCTACAGACTAGATTTCAATGAATGGTCAAATTAGTTGGTTATTTTGAGACAAATAGTATTATCTGGACATACTCAAACTATCTCCTCAAGATATGTATTAAAAACAACAACTCTGCACTGGAGAAACCTGGCAGACAGGGCCTTAACCAAGTGGCCACAGTTAACATCATCAGCTAATTAAAAAGAGACATCTTTTCTCCTCTAATATGTACCCTGAAAAAGGGAACATAATTTCTGTGTTTTTTTCCCCAGAAATGTATTGTGACTGTTACTTGCCATCAAGTTGCCCGTGACTCACAGCAAGCCTATGTACCTCTGAAACTTGTCCTATCCTGAGCCAATCTCACTGTCTCTGACACACCTACCCGTATTACACCGATCATGATGAGATGTCAATCCATCTATCTCATCCAGGCTCTTCCTCTCCTGTGTTGTCCCTCCACCCTTTCAAGCATAATGTCCTTTTCCAACAACTGGTCCCTCTTCACAGCATGCCCAAAGTATGTGAGACAGAACTTCAAAACCTTTGTCTCCTCCAGAGAGCAACTCAATTTCACTTCTCCAGGATAGACCTGCTTGTTCTCTTGACAGTCTATGGTATATTCAACACCCTTCTCCAGCACTACAACTCAAAGATATCAATTCTCTTGTCATCCTTATTTATTGTCCAAGTCTCTGATGTATAGCAAGTAATTGCGAAAATCTTGAGTTGGATCAGGTGCACTTTAGTATCTAAACTAACATCTTTCACTTCAGCACTCTGGACAGGTCCCTGACAACAGACTTAACCTCAATCTAATCATTAAAAAAGCATCAGGAAAAATCCCAATTGAGTGGTACTTTTTAAAATAACTGACAAATATACTTTAAAGGTGTGTGAAGGTATCAGATGCAACATGGGGGTGGCTCAGACTTCTAATCGCTTCTTAAAAAGGAATTGTAACCATCAATAATATCTGTAGTAGAAAACAGCTGCTTGGTCAGATACGACACCTCACAAGCTCCTGCACTTCTTTGTACCAATCATTTTGGTCTGATATTCATTGTTGACTCACATTTAGAGTGGGGCTTATTAGGGAAGGAAGAAGGCAAGAATATCACTCAATGCAAATCCAGGGTTTAGTTCAGCAGTCCCAAGACACAGTTTTTCAATTAGTCCAGCCTCTGGTTTCAATTCAGCAGTCAGATTTTCCTTCTATCATCTGGCAAGAACAGCAAAGCCTTTAACTATGGCCTTTATATGAGGGGTCCTCCGGTTACTCTTTGCCAGTCTCATTGCCATAATCACCAGGGTCTTGCCACCAGGATCTTACTCCAGTCTCCAAGTCTTGCTGCTCAGGATGGGAAGACCACTCTCTCTTATCCTAGTCCCACAGCTGTTGATAATTTCCAGGACCTTTTCTCTGCAGTTAAGGTATCTAGAGATCAGAGAGGGCTAAGGTAATGGCTAAAAAAAATGTCAACTTTAAGCTAATACCACAAGGTGTTAACATCGTAAAAGACAATCAAAGAGTAACTACAATGCTGTAACAGACTGGGTGCAACACCCAAAGGCAGGGGCTCTGGATTCACCTGCTCCTCCAAGGGAGAAAAATCTCCTTTTGTGCAATTTATAGCTTCTGAAAACCCACTGGAGGATCAGCTATGGAGCTGGTTCTGACTCCATGGTCATGGAAGCTTACCCACCCTTCAAACCTGGAAAAGATTCATCCCAAGGTTCACCTTTTAATCAAACTATAGAAAAGCCTATTAAGTGAACAGTAACACAAGGCAAACACTTCTTCCTTAACTAATCACACAAGATTAAAAGGGAAGGATCTGCCAAACAATAAAGCTTCAGAATGTAGGAAGAAGGTACATGGATACACAGAGTTAATGGAAATGAGTGACAGTGTGGTTACTGTAATTGATGTCATCATATGTACATGAATGGTTGAATGGAAAACCAATTTGATTTATAAACTCATTCAAAAAATTTTAAAAAATTGTGTATTTGTGCGCATGTGAATTTTGTGTGGCCATTTTCATAAGATGCTTGCTTATATGGAGTATAAATTGCTGTATGCCCTGAAGGTTTTAAGACTTTGCTAATATTTATTAAATTTTATTTTTAATTTCTCAATCCATTTGATTGTGGTTGGACATTTGGGATGTTTCCATGTCCTTGCGATGGTGATGGTATATTCACACGATTACTATGTAGCACGTAGAAACAATGATTTTGTAAATCTCTACCTAACTTAGGAGGGACTAGAGAGCATTATGCTAAGTGAACTAACTCCGTCCCATAAGGACAAATACTGTGTAAGAACTATTATTGTAGAAATAGATAACTAGTAAGATATGAATGAGGATCCAAGGGAGGGGAGGAGAGAGCACAAGGGTGAGAATGGGTGGAGGGGATAATTCTAGGGTTGCACAATTTGATGGGTGGAGGGCAGGGGGGAGCAGGGTTTAAGGAAATGGGAAAGATCTGATGTAAAAAACAATGTATATAAACTTTGTGGGTAACCCAGTATGAGAGAGAGAAAAAAAAAAAGAGGCCTCTGGACTGGAGTAAAAAAAAAAAAAAAAAACACCAAACAAAAATTTTCTTTTTAAGTCATTTTATACTTAGAAGAGCTCTGTTGTACACAAGATAGCTATGATTTGGAGTCAACTCTATGGCACTTAACAACAGTGTCTGCATCTTATATACGCATAGTACAATGTTCAGATGAAAAAATTAACATTGGTATAATGCTATTAATTAGGATTCATCAGTTTTTCTACTAATGTTCTTATTTCTAGGCTCTCACATGAAATTTAGTTGTCCCGTCTCCTTAAAAAACCCAACTTCTTGTCACCGAGTGGGCACAGGAGGAGATAGGCTAGTGGATTGGAACCCTCCTGCCTGTGGGTTGGCAGCAGACCTCCTTACCTACAAGGCTACCACAGCTCCTTCTGCAGTCTTTAGTGTGCCCATAAATCGGGCCATTTTTAGGCTGTTTGAATTTTGCTCTACATTTTTCACCTACTCCAGCCAGGACCTTCTACTGTGATTCCTTTACAAGTGATCGGCAATAGCAGCCAGACACTCTCTGGTCCTTCTGGTCTCTGGGTCATGGAAGGTGAGGTTCACAGGGTCCATTAGTCATCTGGACTAATTATTTCTAGGTATCTTCTTTTTATTTTTACCATTGACAACAAACATTGTTCATTATTTTCTAAGAAAGGCTTATTTATTTTTTGAATGTCTCTATCTGCATTATCTCCTTTAATCCTTAGTCTCCAAAGTAATTATAATTTTATCTTTATTTTATAGTTGATCTTTTTTAAATAAAATTTATTTTATTTTAATGAATGCTTACCGACAAGTTGGATTTTCATTCATTCATTGTTGTACATTCCTTCCCTCCCTCCCTCCTCCTCCAGTTCACCTTCTTTTTTTAAAAAAACATATTCATTCATTGTTGTATCTTTGTTTTTCATCTTTATTCTTTACTGAAAACAGAGATAGGCTAAAGCTTCTACCTTAGATGGATAGTCACACGTTAGGTTTTTTTAATGGAATATGATTTTTTTAAATACACTGTGTTTCATTCATGTATATTGTGTTTCAAAAGCTTTTAAAACCCTAATAGCTCTTCATCAAAGTAGGATACAGAACATTGTTTCTGTGAACTATGTGATGCCAGTTGACCTTGATGTTCTTCAAGATTATGATCTCAAGGCCCTACTACCAGCAACTCATTCCCTCAAAGTGTTTGGTTACGATTGAGCCATCTGTGGAACTCTGTGCCCTCCTGGCTCTGCTATCTATATGGATATATATGTAGCATATATTAAAAGGAATGTGAAACTATCATTCCAAAGCCTGATACAGTCATGGATATAGCCCTTTCACATGTCTATACTGTTACACATACAGACACAAGCTTGAATAGTTGCAAATATACCTAATTATGGAGAAATTCCTCTTAAAGTTATCCTACCAGAAAATGTTTGCTGGTCAGTACCAAATGAGACTTTGGTCAATGAGCTAAATCATATGGTTATTTTTTTAAAAAACGACACAACAGTACTTAATTTTAAAAGACATTGCTTTCTCAAAACCGACATACTATATAAGCAGTCTATTAAAAATAAAAGCTATTCTTAATATGTCAAAAAATAAAGTACTTACCAAAAGAAAAAAGATGAGTTACAGGAAGCTGTAGGGATATTGCCTCTTTTTTAAAGAATTCACAGTCTACAACAAACTGAAATATAAAATACTGATTAGAAAAAAAGAATTTAAAGCATTTTTACTAAATATATGAAAAATGAAGATCTGTAAACCTCATCATCTGGTACACTATCATTAAAGCTACACTTAGGTGGTGGGAATGAAGAGACAGAAAGCTGAAAAAACTTGATAAGCAAGTGTTATTTAAGTGACTAGATAAAATTACTAGAGGATAATTTATATGAACAACAAATTCATAACAAAGGTTTCTTAGAATTAGTTTCAAGTGTTAATAGAAAAGGGACAGTGAAGGATGGATCAAAGACATTAAAGATTAATTCAGGATTAATGAGGAATAGATCTCTGAATACTTTCATAGCAAAAGGAAAATGTAGTTTCTTATTTATTTATTTATTTTTAAGGGTCCCTCATTCTTTAAATATCTACAACCTAATTAAACAATAAAAAACTTCTGGAGACATATTACAATTCACTTGCACATGATAAATACTGTTGATACAGACGGTTATTGTTAAGTGCCAAGTTGACAACGACTCATAGCAACCCTATGAACAAAAGATCTGAACACTGCGCCACCTTCATGATCACTGACATGCTCAAGTCCATTGTTACAGTCATTGTGTCAATTCAGCTTAAATAGTAATTATCTCAAATTTTTTTTTAAAATTCACATATATATGAAGTGAGAAATGCAATATCAAAAAAAGCAGACCTATAATGCTATACCAGCATCACTGAAATTTTTTGTAATAATATTTTTCTAATAATAATTTGTTGTTGTTGTTAGGTATCATTGATTTGAATACAACTCATAGAGACCCTATTAACAAAAGATCTGAACCTACTCCTGTCCTGCGTCATCCTCACGCTTCCTGACACACAAGAGCTCACTGCAGCAGCCACCTTGTCAGTCCACCTGGTTGAGGATCTTCCTCTCCTTCGCAGACCCTCCACTCTTCCCAACATCATGCTCCTCTCCAAGGAATAACACCTCTTAGCAACATGCCCAACGTATGTGAAGCAAAGCTTCTTCATTCTTGCCTCCAAAGAGCACTTCAGCTGCACCCTCTCCAAGACTTATCTGTTTTCTTGGATAATTGCATTAAAATTTTGGCTCTGAGCTTTCTGTATTTCTATTAAACATATAATTTTATTACAATAATCAGCATAATGCAACTGATTAGCTTTAATATAAACGTGTGAAAGCAGAAATTAAGGTGAAGCCTAACTTGAGTTAGCAAGTCCTTTGCTGACAAGTCCTTTGTTCTGTATAGTGTTTTGCTGCTAATCAAAAAGTTGCTTATCTCTAGTGGCTCATTCCACTAGCTGCTCTGTAGGAGAAATATGAGCCACCTCTTTCCATTAAGATTTGCAGACTAGGAAACTGCACAGAGGTTAACTATTTTGCTGCCTACAACAAAGCCAGTCAGCCAGTAGACTAGATGCTAGATTTTTCTAACTACTCCTTGAATTATTTTTTTTCAGACAGTGTTGTGTACCAGACTCCTGAGTAGATTTTTATTGTTTTTGAAAAGTAATAAACTGTTAGTTAAGACTGTGGTATACACATGGGGAAAAGAATACAGATATTTTTATCATAGAAAACAGCTACTAAAAGATAAAAAAATAATTTCATTTTTTTTTAAAAAAGGATTGCTTATATTTTTATCAAGTACTGTCTGTGGAGTGAGCTACTGCCTGAGTTATGTTAGCAGGTTTAAGTTAGTTTTAAACAACACTGTAATGTACTTAACAGAATTTTTATCATTGCTTTAAACTGTGGGCAATGTCGTTAGTTTTTATATGATGGAATAAACTCTTATCCAATAAATAATAAAGAATTCAGGATCTGTCTCTAATATATTTAAGGTAAGTAAATTTCCAAGGGGTGTTAATTAGTTTACTTTTGTCACCAAAATATAAATAATTCTATATGCATTTCCAAAAATATAGTAAGAAATAAACTTAACTCAATTTGTTATAACTTCCCATTTGAATAAATATACCCTCCCTCCTTCTGGTGGGTTGTAACAAAGGGCATGAAAACACAGGAAAAGCCCAGACTACCCCCATCGTGAAAGAGAGCAGCACAATGGTAGAGTCAGTAGTATTACTTTCCAAAGATCATATTACTTATTTATTAGGTTGTAAAAAGTATCTATTTGCTGAAAGGTACAAATTTCTTTTAGCAATAAAGAGGATCTTTCTAAGTTTTAGAAAAATGCTGCATTCATTTAAAACCAATCTAACAAAACGCTTAAAGAGAGACTGCTTTTTGTTTTGAAGATGTTGAATTACTTTTCACTTGAGCTAAGAAAAACAATTAGTACATTATAAGGTACTTATGAGACTTGGTCTTTGAGATGTTTCTCAACTATAATCCATTCCCATTTCCTGTGTATCTGGAATTTTTCTACTTATTGTGGCCAACAGTTCCAGTCAATACTCTCAATTAGGGAACGTTTTTGCGCTGTAAGTTGAAAATGCAAAACAGAGTGGAACATGTCTTGTTCTTCTGCACAAGTAGTTATTAATATAGTTATGGCAATAGAATCCTGCAAAATCAACTAAAATTCGATGTAGTAAGTTTGTCAGAGTTCTAGACAAAGCCTCATGAGAGTAAAAGGCTACTGCCAGTGTATGCAAAAACAAGAGAAGGACACAGAGTGACTTCAAAGGTAAAATGAGGAAAGGGGAGGAGGTCCTTTTACTTTTGACTTTTTCCTTTTCTCCTATTTTTCTTGAAATTACCACTTCTTTTTATTTCTACTCTAATTTCTTTAACACAAACCTGAATCTCTTATGAGGTATTAAATCGCCCTGCTCTAATTCATTCTGTAGTTTAAGTTTCGGATGGTTTGTTTTTATAAAGCATAGCTATTATTACTGCCATAATGACAGGGAAAAAAAATTTACATTTACCTATTGACTCTTGAATTCTGTAAAGTACCCAATCCTCATTCATAACTTCTACATATGGCCATAAATTACTTTTCCAGACTTTTCTTCTGCTACTATTTTACCCATACTTCCAAACATATCTCATATTTTCCCATGCTTTACATTTTGAAGTGTGTTTTTTCTTCTTTTTTTACTTTCTACAAGCCTCAGTCTAAACAGTAGTTTTAAAACAGTATCATTAAAACTCTCTACAATGGTACTACTGAGGACTTGGAGTATATCTAATGCAAATAAGGAACCAAATTTTTATCTTTTATTTCATTTCAATTTAAACAGTCACATGTGTCTGGACTGAAGAGCAAAGGCCCAGAATGTTCATTCTACCCACTAAAATTGTAGCTACCCTTTGTTATTGTTGTTGTTATGTGCCATTGAGTCGCTTGCGACTCATAGCGACCCTATGTACAAGAGCTCTAAATGCTGTTCTATCCTGTGCCAACCTAGCCATCTCAAACGCACTTATTCCCACCACTCCAGTCACAGAATCGATCCATCTCACCAAAGGTCTTCCTCTCCTTCGCTTCCCCTCCACTCTGCCAAACATGATGTCCCTCTCCAAGGACCAGTCCCTCCTTGAGGTTATTTCAGCTACCACCTCATTATAAAGTCCTTCTTTATTCAATCAGAAGTATCTTTTCCCTTTACCTCTTTCACACTCTTGAAACAATCTGACTTGTGTAACTTTTGGGTACTTCTTTATTCTCAATCTCTTCCCCACCAAATACACTTTCTGCCCTCTGTTCAACAGCCTAAAGCTTTATAAGAATAAGATGTGTCCTTCTAATTTGTTTACCTTCTGTAATTTCTGGCACACAGTCTTACACATAAAAAGGCATTTAATAATTGCTTACTTTTGAAACATTGAGAAAGTGGTCCTTTTCTCCACTTAGAGTAAGAGGCTTTGCCTTATTCTGCTTAGTTCAAGTTATAGTGAAAGGACTCTAATGATTTAATAAGGGAGCTCTGGTGGCCTAGTGGTAAAAAAGCTGCAATCCCAAAGGCATGTGGTTTGAATCCACCAGCTGTTCTACAGGGAGAAGGATGAATAATGTCCTCTCGCGCATTTTACGGTCTCTGAAAACATGCTGCAGGCTCAGCTATGGGTCAGTTCCAATTCAATGCCACAAAACAACAAAAACAACAACGACTCAATACAGTTTATATTACATAGGGTTAAGATTGTTTTAATTCAGTCAGTCATAGTAAATTAAATAAATAAAAGTTTAAATTTAGCATGCTTACATTTCAAACATTCTGGTAGCAACATTATTTTTACCTTAGTTCCAGGGATAGAAGGTATATAAACAACAAGGTGAGACAAAGATGGATAATCTTGAAGACTTAAGGTCAGATACTGAAAAAAGGTAAAAAGTTTTATTTCTGAGGGTATATATGGTTTAACACATATCAAAAAACCAAAATAAATTACAAACACTTAGAAAAACTGACTTTAACTTATTTCATAAAATGTCCCATGTTTACATTTGTTGATTTCTAATTCTGCTTAAAGTAAAAAGTATAATAATGTTAAATTAAATTAAATCTTTGACTTGTAGCCCTTCATATAAAATCAATGACATTTAACACTAAATTTAATTATTTCAAGAGATTACTGTTAGACTTAATGCTTTAATTTTTATTACGTGGCTACTGAGTATTATAGTGTAATTTCTACATTTTGGCTATATTTTTAAAACTCAGTAATTAAATAAATGAATGTTAAATATGCTGGAAGTCACAAGTTAACCTCAAATCATCTCGACAAAGGTCAAACAGTACTGAGTTGCTGACTACTGAGATAGACAGGAACCCCTGAAATAAATTTGGTAAAGGACATAAAAACACAACAAAGAATACACTTTACTAAATGAGTGAATAAATAAAATTCTGACTTTTCTGTAAACTTATCATTAAAATCACAATAAAATAAAAAGAAAAAAATTATGGTCTGATACTATGGTCCACATTTTGAGGTCTATTTAATAAACAGTCAAGCTACAAAACCTACTTTTCATTTTTTTTCCCCTGTAAGTAGATATAGAGGTGGGAGTAAGTATATTTTGGATGTGATCAAGCAATATGGTTGCAGTAAGACAATTTGCAGATACTTAGAAACGAATTATCTGTCCAACTTTCAGACATACAGGAAGCAAATGAAGGTACCATGGACTTGATTAGGCACACCTTGGTCTTTAAAGTGATATCACTTCGGAGAGGTCCTTGACAGCAGATTTTTTTTAACACATCATTTGATTTCTTGACTGCTGTTCTCATAGTTGTTGACTGTGAATCTAAGTAAGGTGAAATCTTTGACAACTTCAATCATTTTCCCTTCTATCATGATGCTGCCTATTGGTACAGTAGTAAGGAGCTTTTTTTTTCCTTGATGTTGAGATGTTAACTCATATTGAAGGCTGTAGTTGTTGATCTTCTTTGGCATACGTTTCAAGTTTTCTTTACTTGAAGCAAGCAAAGTTATATAATCTTCATAATGCAGGTTGTTTACAAATCTTCCTTCAATCCTGATGCCACATTCTTCTTCAAAGAGTACAGTTTCTCCATCTCTGTGCTCATCATACACAATGAACAGGATTGGAGAAAGGAGCCAATCCTGACACATACCTTTCCTGATTTAACCACACAATGTTCTTACTCCGTTTGAACAATTGTTTTTTGCTCTAAATATAGGTGTGTTGCTGTGGGGTTTTTTTTATGTATAGGTTTTCATAAGCACAATTAATTGCTCTGTGAGTCTCATTCTTTTCAATGTTATCTATATTCTGTTACGATCTAGATAAATGTCTTTGAATAATTAATAAAATAAAAGTAAACATCTTTCTAGTATTCTTTGCTCTGAGCCAAAATCCATCTGACATCTGCAATGCTATCCCTCAAGTCACTGCCTCTTCTAAAACTAGCTTGAATTTCTGGCCATTCCCTGTCAATGCACTGTTCCTATTATTTTGTTCAAAATCTTCAGCAAGATTGTATTTGTGATATTAGATAAGGTAGATAAGATTACCTAAATGCTTGAAGCTAACTTGTAAAATTACTGCATGTCTTTATGAGATGCCGACTTCCTTTAAGGAGCTCTTCCTCCTAAAATGTATTCTGTGTACAGCTGATCTTATATTCTGAAAAAGATAGTTCTAAACATAGCCTCAAACTCACTTTTTTCCCCTTTCTTGGCCAGGTGCTAGTTTCCAATAGGGGACATGTACTCGTGTAGATACTGGAAGGCAAAGTCAGTCCACTTCATTTCTTGTTCTTTAACAGATTCTGCAATACTGTCTTGTTTAGGTTCTGGAAGTTCATTCAGAGGTACTGCAATATCCTCGTAGGGCAACTTGTCTTCTTGCCAAACATCATCAATCAAATCTAGGATCCTCCCAACTCTCTGTACCTCACTGTCCATTCTCCAGCTGCTTTGATCTTGTCAGAGAATATCTATTCCACACACCATCCACTTCTGCTGAGCCATGCCCTCAAACTCACTTTTAAATACTTGTCCACTCATCTTTTAATATTATAATAGTTATGAGATTTCTCCTCAAAGTACTAATATAATTTTTATATAGGAAAGTAAAAAAAAATGTTATTTCCACTTAATGCATTTCTACAAAAAAATATCTAACATGTAGATTAGCAAATCTCAGATTTATTCAGTATCTAAATGAATTCTAACAAGAACTTGCTCTGAAATCCATCTATCCAAGTATATTTTTATGTGGATATTAAAATTCTAAAGCTATAATTTACCTTAATTGTTGGCAAGAGTTCCGTTTTCCAAGATAAATCAATTCCTTGCTGGCTTTGAATAAAATATCAAAAGGTAATTGAAAGATAAATACATTAAAATATCATATATCATAAGCAAACTTCAAAAGAACGAAAAAGAATCTATAAACCTATCCATTACACTGTTTTTGTTAGGTGCTGTCAAGTATGACTCAGTGACCTTATGAACAAAAGATCTGAACCCTGCTCTAACTTGTGCCATCCTCACACTTCCTGACACACAAGAGTCCATTGTGGCAGTCACTCCACTAGTTGACCTGGTCAAGGGTCTTCCTCTTCTTCACCAATCCTCCACTCTTATTGTTTTTCCTCATTTCAACCGACTTCCAATCTGGGTTCTACCACTATACGACTATAACTATCCTCATTCTTCTAGTGTTCATAGGGTTTTCAAAGCCCTGTTATTTAAGAAGCAGATGTCAAACCGGATTTCTAGTCTGTCTTCATCTGGAAGCTCTACCAAAGCCTGTCCCCCATCGGTAACCCTTATGGCATTTGACACACCAGTAGCACAGCTTTCAGCATCCCAGCAACTCCAAGTTATCTTAGTACAGCAAACTGAAAGACAAGTGCTGTACCATTTAGAACAATAGTTTCTTCAAACCCAATTAACACCAGACTTTTAAATACAGAGGCCCACCCACGAGGTCCTGATTGATTGATTTAAACAAGAGGCTTGAGTAATTTAAACAAGAGGCTTCCAGTCTACAGCTGCTTGTTAACTAAATCCAAATGACCAGCTTACATTTGATTGTTAATGAAATAAAAAATTACCAAAATGACCAGTTTACACCAGACTTTCAATTAAATCAAAACAACCTACCCTCCAGAATCCAACCACTTCACATAGGAGGCTCCGAACTGGAGTTAGCTATATTGAGTGGAGTCTAGTCCAATATATGCTGTTCACACAGTACCACAGTATATAATTGATTATTGCCATAATAATTTGATTTCTCCATAGCCAACTAATTTTAAGGTTTGAAAAACTGCTAGTATTTTAACATTTTCTTTTTCATTTAAAATACTATAATTAAGGTTATCAGAAAGATAAACACAAAAACATATGATGTTACTTGAAAAACCACATTTTTTTAGTATTCCATTTATGTTAAGAAAAAGAAATGATGAAGAAAATCTGTTTCAAAATAATAAAGGAAAAATAAAATCTGGTTCAAAACTTACCACATAGAAGTACTGTTTATGCATCCAAAAATCCAACTATTTGTATCCTGTTGAATAATAAAAAAAAAAAACATAGTATACTAGCAGAGTATAAAGACATCTTCAACATTTTACTGCAATATGATAGGGTACTAAGAGTACTAGGATCCACAATCTTTACTCCAATTTTTAAGAAAGCAGTAAGAATAATACTGTAAGGTCAGAAAAATCAAACTACCATCAAGACAAAGGCGAAATCCTAACAATGGGTGAAAAGCAATACTCAGCCACATAAAATCTTCCTTAGAATTACAGATTAAGATAGTGAAGAAATTAATCCTTTTATTCAACTAATATTCAGAGGTTGTGGCACTAGAAACATTATCACCAATGTCAGACGTCAGATGGGTCTTAGCAGAAAGCAAAGACTACCACAGGAATGTTTGTTCCATTGACTATGCAAAGGCATTTGACTGTGTGGATTACAACAAATTGTGGCTAACCTTGAGGAAAATGGGAATCCCAGAACACATCATTGTGCTTATGCGAAACCTATACTCGGATCAGGAAGCAGTCCTCGGAACAGAGTGGGGAAACACTGCATGGTTCAAAATCAAGAAAGGAGTGCATCAGGCATGCATCCTGTCTCCATACCTTTCCAATATACATGCAGAAGAGATCATTCAGGAAGCAGGGTTTTATAAGGTAGAATGTGGTATCAGGATTGGAGTAAGATTCATCAATCATCTACGTTATGCAGATGACACAACCTTGCTTGCTGAAACTGAAGTTACTTGCTATGTATCAGAGAGCTGGACAATGATTAAAGATGACAGAAGAAGAATCGACGCCTGTGAATTGTGGTTCTGGAGAAGAGTTTTGAACATACCATGGACTGTCAAGAAAACAAATAGATCTTGGAAAGGGTGAAACCAAGTTTCTCTCTGGAGGCTAGGATTTTGAAACTCCATCTCACATACTTTGGGCATGTGATCAGAAAGGACCTGTCCTTGGAAAAGTACATCATGCTCAGAAGGGTGCAAGGACAGCTCAGGAGAGGGACTACAAATGAGATGGACTGACACAGTAACAGGGATAATGGGGGTTGGTGTGTTGGAATTAATGAGACTGACTCAGGGCAGGGCAGGGTTCAGAGCTGCTGTACACAGGGTCACTGTGGGTCACAGGTGACTCAATAGCACATAACAACAACAATGACATTCTGGGGGCCAAGGAATTATGGTAAATTCACAGAGAAAATTCAGAACTGGATAGATAGTCTCTGACCTCATGGAACTTAAATATAATTGAAGACATTTTTATCTAAGAATAAAGAAAAGACAGGTGACAAGAAAGAAACAAAAACCCATGATATTTTATGTTCTTCACCGGTGGCAAAATCTCTGTGTGTGACCCCTCTTACCAGTTACCTGTGTCTCCCAGAAAAAGAACATGACATGGCAGCAATACAGATCCTTATAGCCTAGAAAGCTCTTAGGATTCAGTTCACTTTTAATAACAAGTTTTAGCAATTTACTAAGAATGTTTATTCTTGTTTTAAGAACCTCTTTATTTACTCATTTTAAAAATATCACAATTCTACATATTGTTGAGTATCACATCTTTCATATTGGCAATTATCATCTACCCATTTCTAGCTAACTCTCTATTTACCTAGTAAAGAAACTTTGTCGTAAATGCCTACTTAGTTCTAACTCTCATAAAAACTGTCAATATCCTACACTACTTACTTGAGGACAGGAAACTCTATTGTTCTCATTCATTAATGGATTAAAGAGGTAAAATATTATTCAAAAACATTCTTGAAACATCCTGCTAACATAATGATGTCAAAAAAAATTCAGTTCAACTACAGAAAGCTAATTATAAAAACATATGGAAAGTCTTTTCAAAAGTTAACCAGGAATCACTGGGTAGTGACTAACTCCTGGTGTGCACAGGAAAGAAAATACTACTTGTAATATTGAAAAAGATCTTAAAAAAAATTGTCTCCAATAAAACTCAAACATTCAAACTTTCTTAAAGAGTTACCTGAACACTGTCTTTATAAAGCCAACCAGTATGGAAGAAAATCAGTAACAAGTCTTTTAGTCTTGCTATTGTTAGGTGCTGTCAAGTTGAGTATGACTCTTAGGGACCCTATGAACAACAAATCTGAATCCTGCCCTATCTGTGCCAGCCTCATAATCTCTGATACACTCAAGACCACTGGCATAGTCACTGTAGTCAATCCACCTGGTAGAGGGAGTTCTTCTCCTTTGCCATCCCTCCACCTTTCGAAGCATGATGTCCCCCCTCCAAGGAATAACCTCTCCTAGTAACATGCACCAAAGTACAAGAGATAAAGCTTCATCATTTTTGCCTCCAAGAAGCACTGTGGCTACACCATCTTCAAGACCTCTTTGCTCTTTTGGAAGGCCATGAGATCCTCTGTCATCCTATTCACTGTCCAGTTCTCAGATGCAGAGCAAGTGACTGAAAAGACCGTGGTCTGAATTAGGCACACCTTAGAGATTGACATTAGTCCTCAAAAATTTGGAGAGGTCCATGACTACCAACTTTCCCAGTGCAATATGTCTTCTGCCACACCCGCCTCGCTGTCCTCTCTGGCCACGACGCCTGTGTGACAAAATGGGTCGTCCGTGCCTGTACGGGGTCTCTGACCTCAAGGATAGCGTAAGAGGGAACCTTGCAAGCCCTGTGCTTGTGAGTGGGCTGATGCCTGGATATTTGTTACAGATGGGTCTTCGTAATCCTGGGAAACCTCTGGAAATTAAGTTGCTTCTAGGATAAGAATGGGAGTTTCTGGGGAATAATCAGGGGAACTTCACCAGAACTGGGATAAAGATTTAATTAAAGTTTTTAATCAGGAACCATTTGATGTTCCTGGAAATGATAACAAACAAGCTGAAAATATAAAAGAAATTGAGATTGTTCTTAAAAGTATAATTTTGAATATGATCTTTGAGTATGTATCTAATTCTTCTTTTGTGATACTTGCAACTCATATTCAGCAATGTAATTGTATATTAGGAGAAAGTTTAGACTAGTTTTAACAGCAGAAAGTCATAGTTAATGAGAATAAAACAGAGAGGTTTAAGAAAAGACTCAAAAGACAAACTTCTCTAAAAGTAAAGGTCTCTTTAAGAAATAGGAAACATTACCAGATAAACAATAGGTGGTGAGAAGAAAGTACTTATAAAGGACCATATGTCCTGCCAACTCCAACACCAGTACCTCTTCCTTATACAGACGTTTTGTATTCCAAGGAAAAAGAATTGAATATTACAAATTAACTTGGTAAAAACAAGTTAAAGGAAGTCGTCCACCTTAGTGCACATTGCCAAACAAAAAACAAATTAAAATCTTATGACAAGTTGCAAAAGCTATTGTTAAACATAGGAATGGTCCAGAGTGTAAGAAAATAGATGTTAAGATTCGTTAGGTATAGTACAAATATGAGTACAAAGGCAAAAACAAAGGTGGCTAAAATACAGTGACACAAAGTAAGAGAGGAAAGGAAGTGAAATGTAAACCATTAACCATTGTCGAGCAGATGACCAACATAAGGTCATTGTGTTTCTTGTTCAAAGAATGTTTAATAGCCGATGCTATTATTTAGTAATAGAAAATATTTTCTTTTTGTTAAAATCTTATGTGAGTTTTGTAATCACAAAATGTTGGCTATAAGTCAAGTTTAAATGTATAAAAAGCAAGCTTTTAGCATAATAAATCAGAGCTCTCTACATCATCCTGGTGTGCAGACTCTCATTTTCGCCGACTTCGTCCCTCACCTGCTCTTCACCAAGAAACCCCTTGAGTTTCTTGTCACGACCGTAGTCGGGTGGTCGGTGACAGTCTTCTAATCTCCTGACTGCTGGTATCAAGTATACTGATTGTCATTCCAAGCAAGATGATGAAGTCATTGACAGTTTTAATCTTTTCTCCATCTATCATGATGTTTCCTATCAGTCCAGTGGCAAGGATTTTTGTTTTCTTGACACTGAGATGCAGTCCATATTAAAGGCTGCAGTGTCTGACCTTCTGCAGCAAGTGCTTCAAGTCTTCCTCGCTCCCAGCAAGCAAGGTTGTGTTATCTGCATAATGAAGGTTATTTCTGAGTCTTCCTCCACTCCTGATGCCACATTATTCTTCACAGTGCAGCTTCTTGAAAAATTTGCTCCGATGCACATTAAATGGGTATGGAGAAAGGACACAACTCTGACACACGTTTTCTAATTTTAACCCATGCAGTGTTCTCTTACTCTGTTCACATAACATCTTCTTGGACTAGGTATAGTTTTTGTATGAGTACAACCAAGTGTTCAGGATTTCCCATTCTTCTCAGTGTTAGCCATAATTTGTTATGATATACACAGTCAAATACCTTTGCATGGTCAATAAAGGACAAACAGATATTATTCTGGTATTTGCTTTTAGCCAGTGTGGTGTTAGCCTAAAGTTGGGTTTTTCAGTCATTATCTTAGCCCCCTCTGGTCTCCAGCTACCTTAACTGCAGACATATGGTCTTGTAAATTATCAATCGTTGTGGGACTAGGTTAAAAAAGAGAGTGCTTTCCACACTGAGTAGCAAGACCTGAAGGAGACTGGAGCAAGATCCTGTTGAAAGTAAGATCCTGGTGGTGAGATCTTAATGATGGTGGTGGAGAGACTGGCAAGGTATAACCAGAGGAATCCTAAAATAAATGCTAGCGTTAAAGGTTTTGCTATATTTCTCAAATAATTAAGGGAAAGCTGTATTAAAACTGCTCTGAGGCAAACCTTGCTGGATGACTGAGGGAACCAGAGGCTTCTACAATTTGTGTAGCTGAACTGAAAATGGAGCCTGGATGCACTAATTGAGGAATTATGCCTTGGGACTGCTGGGCTAAAACTTGGATTTGTATTGAGTGATATTCTTTGCTTCCCTCACTCTCCAACTTATTTCCCTAGTAAACACTATTCTCAGTATCACAACCATGAGTAAAGTCTGTGAGTAAACAATGAATAAATGAACCTCTCACTGTTGGCGTGGCTCCAGAAGGCACCATGGGGCTGGGCTATGGGTCTTTATCTGGGCCAGTGAGGGGCTGTGCTAATTCTCACTCCTTCTGGCCCTTTTCAGAGATATGCTCATTGCCTTATGCCCCCATATCGTATTTTCTGCTCTCAAGATACATCTAGACATCAGCAGTGCTATCCCCGATGCCACAGCTCTTCTAAATCCAGCTTGAACGTCTGGCAATTCTCTATGTATTGTTCTAGTCATTATTTAATGATCATCAGCAGAATTTTGCTTGCATGTGATATTAATGATGCTGTTCAATAATTTCCACATTCTGTTGGATCATCTTTCTTGGGAATGGGAACAAACGTTGATCTCTTCCAGTCAGTTGACCAGGAAGCTGTCCCCCAAATTTTCTGGCACAGACTGGGGAGCATGTTCAGGGGTGCATGTGTCATTTGAAACATGTCAATTAACATACCATCCCTTCCTGGAGTCTTATTTTTTACCTGTGCCTTCAGTGTAACTTGAACGTCTTCCTTCATTACCATTGGTTCTTAGTCATATGGTATTTCTTGAGACATTTCACTGTCAGCCAATTCTTTTTGGTACAGTGACTGTGTATCATTTCTATTTCCTTTTGACATCCTCTAAATTATCCAAGATTTTCCCCATAGTATCCCTAAGTATTGCAACTCAAGGTTTGCTGAGTGAGTTCTTCACTTTTTATTATCTGATTTCAGGTCCCTGCACATTCTGTTATAGTAGTTAGCTTTGTCTTCCTGAGCTGCCTTGTGAAATCTTCTGTTCAGCTCTTTTATTTCAGCATTTCCCCCTTTTGTTGTGGCTTCTTAATGCTCTAGTGCAAGTTTTAGCATCTCCTCTTAACATTCATTTTGGTTTTTCTTTTTCCTTCACCTGGTAATGACATTTTGTTCTTTTCATGCATGATATTCTTGTTGTTGTCGTCCCACAATTAATCTGTTCTTTGATTACTGGTATACAGTGCTTTAAACCTATTTTTTTTTAGCAAAATAAGAGAAAAATACTTAATAAGCTAACAAGACAGAAGCATAGCTAGTGAAAGGCCATGCAAAACAGTTAATGTGAAAAAGAAAAAGGAGGAAAAAGGGGAAAGGCACCCCAGAAAGATAGAAGTGAATCCGAATCTTACCGCATGCTATTAGCAGAAAAGGAAAGAGAAAAGAGACTTCAAACTTATTTTTAAAATTTTTTTAAGAAGAAAATGAATTTATTTTTCCAATCTGTAAATTAACAAATTTTAAGGAGAGAAACATAAATTATTTTAATAATGGATACAGTTATATAGATGTTTTTAGCTCTGTTAGGTAAAAAGAAAGATGACAACAGAAAAAACACAAGCCTTCTAAGTAACTTGTTCAGTCTACAATCAATAAGAAGAAATGGTCTTTGGAAACACAAAACAGGTTAAATCCCAGTTGATTACACATGTTCCTAAAGTAACCAATCCAGCTGAACAGCAGAAACTGACAATGAGGATATGAAAAGCTTTCTTCGAGTTCTTCTGACTCTTTCTTCATCGCGAGAACAATCATGTCCAGCAGCCATATCATACCAAATGTCCGAACTGCTCTACAGTGAGACTGTCCATTCATTATAAGACTAGAGGAAGACTCTTGGAGAAAAATGGGGGAATAGTTCTCATCAAAACTAAGGTGATAGTTTTCTTTTGTTTCCATCTTGGAGGTAAGCTGATGCTAATGCCAATTGGACTACAGCAATTCTGGCTTGAGTATGCAATACCTTCTGGATCTAACAAAGTGCCTAGTCAGTGAGGAAGAAGAGATCAAGTCCATGAATCATGCTGACTCTTCTAATGCTCTTAAGATCAATGCCGTCTTGTACCATCTCCCAAAGAGGGCTCATTTCTCGAAGACGCTTCACATGCTGAATGCACTTTTCTGCTGTGTAGTCCACTTCTTCCTCTGTCGTGAAGCAGCCAATGCCAAACCGGATAGAATGATCCAAATCCTCATCAGTCCCAATTGCTTTAAGGACATAAGAGGGCTCCAGGGAGGCAGATATGCAGACACTCCCTGAGGATAAGGCGACATCCTTGAGGGCCATCAGCAGACTCTCTCCTTTCACGTATGCCACGGAGAGGATGATACAGCCTGGATAATGGTGCTCAGGGTCCCCACTCATCACCACATCTGGAAGACTTTTCATTATCTTCTCTACAGATGTTCTGCCAACTTTGAAATTCGCTTATGGTCATACTCCACCGCACATGCAGCCGCCAGCCCCACCGCCAAAGGTGTGTGCATTGTCCCAGACTGCAAGCCCCGCTCTTGCCCTCCTCCACTCTGCAGGGCCTCCACACCTACAAGGGGCCAGTGGCTAATGTAGATGGCACCACCTCCTTCTGGACCATCGAGTTCATGACCACCAATACTCATGAGGTCAATTTTCATGATGTTGACATCAAGTGGAATTTTCCCAACAGCTTGGGCTGCATTGGTGTGGAAATAAACCTTTTTGCAATTGCAAATCCATCCTATTTCCGCAATGGGCTGCTTCACTCCAATTTTATTGTTCACAGTCATGAATGAGATCAGGCTGGTATCGTGCTGTATGGCAGCCTCTAGTTTAAGTCGATTATCCCACTCTTCTGCCCTGGTAGGTAGGTGATCTGAAAGCCTTCAGCTTCCAGTGAGCAACAGGAGTCCAAGACACATTTGTGATCAGTCTGGGTAGCGATCAAGTGCTTTTTCTGTGACTTGTAGAACCTAGCCACCCCCTTAATCGCTATGTTGTTGGATTCAGTAGCACCACTAGTGAAAATAATCTCAGAAGGGTCAGCCCCAATCAGAGATGCTACTTGCTGTTGAGCTCATTCCATGGCTGCCTCACTCTCCCAGCCATAAGCATGTCTGGGAGTGTGGGTTGCCATAATAGCTGACTAAGTAAGGGAGCATGGCATCAAGCACCCTGGGGCCCAGAGGAGTTGTGGCTTGCACATCCATATAGAGCGGTCGCAGCACTGACTCCTCGGGAAGTCCCTGTCTGCCGCCTGAGGAGCAGGATCTGAAACATGTACACACAGCCCCTGGAAGGGTGTCCCAGGCTTCAACGCCGGAGCCACACTCAAGGCCAGAGTTGCCCGGCTCCTCCAGCCTTAAAATGATTTTATTTTTAAATTTTTAAAAAAAAATAATCTTTTTTTATTTTATAATTGTTGTGCATGTACTGTCAAATTGGATCTGATTGGTACAGGAGGAGACTGTCCCTCCTTCTCCAGCACAGCATCTGGTGGATTCAAACTGCTCACCTCTTGGGTGGCAGTGCAGCTTCTTGCCACGAGGCCACCAAAGCTCCCTCTTAAAATTATTTTTAACTTGATGAAGACTAGACTAAAAATCACATTTGGTTCTTGTGAACCCATTTTCATTTTCTTCATCTTCAACTTAAACTTGCCCATGAGTAGTTAATAGATGATCTGTACAAAGTCAGCACCTGGCCTGTTAGAAGTTTCAAAAATACACAGATGCACAACTAAAGAGAGTTCCATTAACATCCATGACAATGTCAATAAAACAAACACTTGAACAACGTGCTAACATACAAGTTTAAAGTAATGGTGGACATTTAAGGAAACTAAAGACACAAGACTGACTACACATACAATCATTATCATTACAATGAGTTAATTATGTTAATTTATTATTAGTTATAGGAAAATTTTTATTACTATTATTCAATAAAACACAATTCTAAACAAATAATCTACAACTAGATAGACTGAGTAAAAGCATATTGATAAAAGTTAGATGTTAGTTAAATCTGAAAAATAGACTTTTAAATATAAATAAAATATATCACGTCTCTTACCAGCATGGTGCTTTGACAATAGGCATGAGTGTAGATTTTTCTATGATTTGCAAGAGGAAATATAAAATATATCTTATCAGATTCCTAAAAAAAAAAAAAAAAGAGAAACATTTAACAAAACTAACCTAAGAGTTGACAATTTCATTACTGTAAAACTTAGGAAAATGAAGATTTCAATCCTATAATTCTTGGTATAAAGAACCAATATTCTAGGAAGGAGAGAAAGATGATATGGAAAGAAGACTGAGAGATTATGTAAAACACAGTTCCTAGTTTTGCCCATCGAACAGGTGTGTACAAATGCCAATCTAGTAATAATAAGCATATCAAGTGCCCAAATTATTTTATTTTATGAGGTTAGAAGAAATTATATCTGAACATAAAGAAAACAAAAATCCTTCCAATTGTACCAAACGCAACCTCATGATAAATCAAGAAGAAACTGAAATTGCCGACAATTTCTTCCCAGCTCAACAATGACAGCAGCAGTCAGAAAACTCAATGGTGTCTTGCACTGGGAAAATCTGCTGTCAAAGACTGCTTTACAGTTTTAAAAAGATGTCATTTAGATGGCAAATGTTCATCTGATCCAAGCCATGGTCTTTTAATCACCTTTTATATACGACAAAGTTGTTGCTAAAAAGGGGGTGGATTTATGCATTCCAACTGTAACAATGGAGGAAAACATGAAATACACTGTAGACGGAAAAAAATAGCAAAAAGAAATCAACCATAAAAGAAAAACAACCAAAGTGTTCCTTAGAAGCAAGACTGACAAGAGTTAGACTACCTAACTTTGGACATATGATCACCTGAGATCAATCACTAGAAAAGGGTATCATGTTTGGCTAGTAGAGGATCAGCACAAACAAAAGGCATGCTTAGTGAGATGTGCTACCACAACAATGGACCCAAACACAAAGACTATCTATGATCACAAAGATGGTGTAGGACCAGGCAACTTCTTCATTTATATGGGTTACCAAGAGTTGAGAGCCTACTATGGTAACAACCCGTGACCAAGCTACTGTTTAAAATCAAGTTCCCCATATAAAAAGAATCTTAGCTTAAGTAATTAGCTGATTCAAGGTCTGGTTCAGGAAATATACAAGATGAACTGAAATATAATAATGAATAGCAGAGAAATTATCATAGACAACCAGGAGTTATAACAAAAAGATTCAAGAGTCAAACTTCAAATGCTTTCCACTGAATTGATACGGACTATTTTAAACCCAGTGGAATGAAACAGAAATATGCTTAACTCAGTAAGTTCATAGTAACATTGGAAAAAGTACCCAATGCACATGTATGTTTATTGCTGTGCTGTTCACAACAGCAAAGAGATGGAAACAACTAAAGTGCCCATCAACAAACAGGTGAATAGAGATGATGTGGTATATTCACATAATGGAATACAATGCAGCACTGAAAACAAGGAACTCATGAAATATTATACAAAATAAGTGACCCTGGAGGACACTATACTGAGTGAAATATCACAGTCACAAAAGGTCAAATACTGCATAATGCCACTGTTATAAAATAGGACTGACATGGTAGGTGGGGGGACATAAGAAAAAGGGAATTAATAATGTACACTGCATTGAAACAGACGAGGGAAAGAACTGTTAAATAGAAAAAGCAACCCAGCCTCTAGTTAGTTACTGATGGATAATTGTTTGCAAATTAGACTCACTATTTTGGCAACTAGGAAATAAACAGAAGGTAAATTCAAAGTTCTTCATAATTATCACTTAATCCTTTATAATTTGCAGCAATGTGAACAAATTTAGTAGATAAGAATATATTTGTCTACAGAATGTTTCAATGAATAATGAAGAAGGAATATTAATCCATTTTGCATCCTCTAATAAATTCCATATAATGATTCCATACATTCTTCATCAATTTCTGCTAACTTCACAAGAAAGAGAGAAGGTCTAGAATAAACTTGAATTTGATCATCCTCTAGATCCAACTGGTAACTCACGGGAAATAGTGGACATAGGAACATGCTGAACTGCAATACTGGGACACACTCAACAAAATCCTGACTCTGAAACTCTGTAAGCCAAAATGACCCAGTTACTTCAACAAATAAATTAACAAGAAAAATTAATAGGATAGGTAAAGAAAGTGGATTAAATATCAACAGTCACAATGTGTGACCTTATGTTGACCCTGAATAATATACAGCTTGAGAATAAAAAAAAATTAAATATACTAATTATATCAATCTTCATTCATTCTCCAGGTTCACAGGGTTTCTGGAGGCAAACTATTTACGGAAGTGGATGCCACTCCTGCTTCCAAGCTTGTTTTAACCGGGGAGCACCACCAAACACTGTCCAACATGGGTAACCGTTATTGCATTTGGAAACAGCTCTGGTCTGTCCACTTGCCGTAGAGAGGCAATTCGTGGCCACTGTGATACTGACGTGCCAAATGTGGTACCGGTTACCCATGGCAGACAGTGTTTGATGGCGCTCCCCGGTTAAAACAAGCTTGGAAGCAGGAGTGGCACCACTTCCGTAAATTGTTTGCCTCTGGAAACCCTGTGAATCTGGAGAAAGGATGAAAGTCACGCAGGTGTCGAGGACTTTAGTTCACAGGGTCGCCATGAGTCACCAACGACTCAAAGACACTTAACAACAATTATAACAAAAACTGTAAATGTGAACACTGACTAGATACTAATACTTTTAAGTTGTTTCAAAGTGAAAAATGGTGTTTGCCTAGCTTTTAAAGGTAAATACTGAAATATTATTCTTAGTATTAAAAACTCCATTTGCAAAATACTTACATTATAAGCCACATAGGTCCACTTGGGAACTTTTACTGGAACCCACATAGATGTTTCTAAAGAAAAGTATTTTATTTGGGTGATTTTTCAATATTAAATAATATCTTTCTTTCTTACTGTTGATAGAACAATTTCTCAATCATAGCAAAGTATTAAAAAAAGTGTTTTCATCAACATTTACTATTTTAAAACAGAAAATACAGAGCATGGCTTCTATATAAGGAGCTCAGGTGACACAGTCCACAGTCTGTTTTTGCTACTAACCAGAAGATCAGTGGTTTGAATCCACCAATGGGTCCATGAAAAATGGGTCATCTCCTCCCCCTTTAACACTCTATACACTAATCACATTCATGTCAAACAATGCATTTTAAGCATGTTTGGTGTCTCTAATTGTAACAAAGTGTAAACAAGGTTTAAAATTTTATTTCCCAGATAGGGCTACTACCACCAACCTGTTAAATCAGAAATAATCGTTGGATTTTCCTCAAAGTATTTGGCTGGATGTCTTATAAAGTGGTGATTCAAAACTGACAACTTCTTTGTGGAATTTTGTGTTATCTAAAAAAAAACCATTAATATATTCTATAAAATTTTATAGCTTTATAATAGTTCACGGGAGAAAAGGTTCAGTGATCTGCTTTTATATCGATAACAGCTGAATGGGGCAGTTCTACACAAGGTCATTCATTATAAGTAAAACTTCAACTCAATGGCACCTAACAATAATAATAATTCTTAAATACGAAAAAAAGACAACACAGAGAAATTAGGAAATTATCCAAAGTTAGATGACTGTTAAGAATCTGGGCTGGTTTTCAAACCCAGGTAGACTGCTCTAGAGTGCTCTGTCATTCTACTGTAGTGCCTCTCAAGTAACAGAAAGTATATTTTGAGTACTTCATTAGAAAACAAACTTCTGGTCTAGTGATTCTGACAAACTAGTTTCCAAACTCAGGTCAGTGCCAAGCACATATTTTCTGGTTCACAAGAGAAAACAGAAATTTCTACCTGTTGTTCTTTAAAAACAATTCTACATTTTGTCCTTCCACTCTGTTTGCGTCTTTCTTTAGTGGAATTATAATCAGAACCAAGAGTGAAAGGTTTTGGGTTGTCCATTTTTAAAATGTCCTAGTAAAATAAAATGCTGGAAATTTTATGTTAGCTCTTTCTTTTAAAAAAACTTTAGTGGTTAGTAAAAATCCATTTAGAAGCTTACCAATCTATCAATTCTTTATTTTAAGCACTTAGGCTCTGACAGCATAAGTGATTGTCTCAGCAATCGCACAGTAAGACAGTAACAAAGCTCAAATAAGGGCCGAGGTTTACGAACTCTTAATCACTTAAGAAATCACCCATCCATTACACATATATTTCAAACTTACTACTTTGTAAGGCAGTACATTCCCATTAACTACCATTACCATTTTAAATGTTCTGCCCTGTTCAAAGTATGTATCTGTCATTCTTGTAGTACGATATATGATTTAAAAAATGTTGACTTCTATAAAAAAGAATTCAACTTTACTAAAATAATTCTTAGCTTAAAAATACATACTTGTTTAGTATCAGCATCAATAAGATCAAAGAATGCTCGAACTGTAGCCAATTGCAACTGTTTACACCTAAAAAAGAAAGTGTTAAATGAAATTCTTAAAACATACACTCTTGAACTAAGCATGCATAATTTCAATACTTAATATTTAAGTTTCCTGTAACCCTGTAAATTCTAAAGTTATTTAACAAATTATTTTAATGTTATTTAACATTACACATAAATATGTTAAAAATGAAACCTACAAAAAGAAATCTTCCTTTCTTCAATAATCTCCTTGTCTACCGAGTTAAAACTGGACTGTCCTATCTTTATAGAGATGAACTACTGTATTTCTCACATAAAGCAATGTGTGTACAGCCAGAGCAAAGTCAGACTGAGAATCTTTTTTTATTTTTTTGCTGATCATCTCTATTGTATAATGCTTCTGGGTTTTGATACATATGTTATCTTTTACTTCATCTTTGTTGTTAGGTATTGTCAACGTGGCTCCAAATTATAACAACCAAATGCACAACAAATGAAACCCTGTATGGTTCTGCACCTTCCTTACAACTGACTGCTGCTATGATCAGGTTTGTTATTGAAGTCACCCTGCCAATACGCCTTGTTTAAGATCTTCCATTCTTGTGCTGTACTCTACTTTACTAAATATGTTGCTTTTCTCCAGGGTCTGGCCTCTCCTAACAACATATCCAAAGTATTTGAGACTTTGTCTTGCCATTCTACTTTTTAGGAGCATATTGGCTGCACTTAGCCCAAGAATGATTTGTTGATTTGTTTATTCTCTTGGAAGTCCACTGTATGTTAAGTATTTTTCACTAATACCAAAATTAAAAAATTAGAGGCCACCTGCTGCTCTGTGCAAGAAGGATGGGCAATCTCCTCCCGTGTGATTAACTGCCTTTTAAAACCCACCTGAGGGTCAGGTATGGGCAGTTCCAGCTTGTACACAATGACAGCAACTATAATTCAAAAGAATTAATTTTCATTTGTTGTTGTTGTGTACCACAGAATTGCAACCAACCATAGCTGACCCTCAGGTGGGTTTTCAGAGGCAGTTAAGAGCATGGGAGGAGACTGCCCATCCTTCTCCCACAGAGCAGCTGGTGGATTCGTACTGTGTGCCTTTGAGATTACAGCACAGCTTCTTGCCACCAGGCCACCAGAGCTCCCTTAATTTTCATTTAGTCTTCCTTATTCATTCTCCTACTTTGAAATATATATGAAATAACTGAAAATAACATGGCTTGGGTACGAATGTTCCTTAGTCTTAAAGTAGTATTTTCATACCTTTAGCACCTTAAAGATCATGGTAGAAGAACTGCAACAGAAAACTGGCTAAATAAACTGGCAAATACATACATTGGAGTATTAGGCACAACTTTAAAACTATCAAGAATTCTTAAATAATGTACAACATGAATGAATCGATAACAAATTATGCTGAATGACATTAAGTCATTCACAAAAAGGATAATTATGGCATAAGACTACTGAAACAAAACACCAAAAATAGTTTACACAAAGTTAGAAACAATAACAATACTGGAAGTTTAATAGCAAAGGGAAGAGTAAGATGGGGAGTAAAATATTAATAAATAGGTAAGTGAAGAAAAACACAATATACAAAAAGTATACAGAAAGGGGTTGGTTGTTGTTGTTGTTACAAGTTCTAAAGTCAGAAGTGACTCATAGCTGACCCTCCAACAGGTTTTCAGAGGCTGTAAACAGCGCGGAAGAAGACTGTCCATTGTTCTCCCATGGAGCAGACAGTGGATCCGAACCAACTGCCTTTGGGTTGGCAGCATAATGCCTCACCCACTAGGACACCACATATCGCTAACGGATTGATCAGACATTATAATAAATTAAACACATTAGTCAATGGTAACTGGGGTTATAAAATAAAAAGTCAATGAATGACAGTTATGAAAAAAATCAGTATGATCTGCAAACCTTCACATGAAAAAATAGTTAATATTTTTCAAAAATAAGCCGAGAACTAAACTTAAGTAGATTTCTTCAATGCATTACTTAGCTGGATATTTTGACTGTGATTTGGGGTTATTTAATTTTTTCTTGAGCTTTTAACAAAAGTTTACACAAAGATTGGGTTTTCATTCCTTCACTGATGGATATGTTCCTCCCATCCCATCCCCTAATTCACTTTGTAAAGCACTTCTTGTTTCAGATTACCTGTCAAACATATAATGCCTAATCACACATTTCTTTTACACAATACTTTTCTTCATCTGTTTTAAAGCAGGGTTCATTATCTATCCATACTTTTTCTGTTCCCTGGCCTCTAATCCCAACCCATGTCAAATCTATTTTATAACAGCAGTATTAAGCAGTACTTGTCCTTTTGTGACTGTAGTTTTGATGAGTAAAGATTGTGGAGTCAAACAAAATGAAGTCTTTGACAACTTCCATTTTTTCTGCATTCACCATGATGTTCACTAGTGAGGAATTTTTTCCCCCTTTATGCTGTGGTGAAGTCTATTTGTCTTTAGGGTGGATCTAATTGCTACTTAGTTTTCCATGTACTGTTCCTCTAGAATAATTAGTGCAGGCCTGAACGGATCTGAGCTTGAGCAATTTGCCAGGAGCTCAGGAAATTCTCCATGAAGTCCACCTGATGCAGTCTAGCTATGACAAATTCCGAATTTTTTTATGCTTATCTCTAGCTTTATTTGTGACTGATGCTACTACTTCCTTGGATGGTTATTTTGTACAGCCAAAGGGGTTTTGATGAAGTGTTAAGAGTTTTAAGCTGTTAACTTAGTTCTTCTCCTATATCCTTATTTACTCCCACACAGCAGGTGATGCATGGATGAGAAAAGGCCTATCAACAGCTCAGGAAAGTAAGTGAGCCTCACTTACCACACTATGGAGAGGTGATCTGTTGAGACCCAGGTCTTAGGCACCGCTGAACTCTAGAAGAAAGAAAGGGTGGAAATCAAACTTAAAAGCAGTGCATTTGTTATTTCAAAAAAATCTGAAATTCCTACACGCTAATATTTAGACAGAGGCATTATTAGTTTCACTTTATTATGATGAATAGACATAGAAGTTATCATCTTATAAAAGGTAATTAAAAAGATTAAAATAATGCCTACATAAATAGCATAAACTTATTTATCTTTATGGCCAGAGCCAAGCTAAAATGCTTTTGTTTTTTTATTTATTGTTGCACATTTTCACCCCCTCTCCCAGCACACCCTGCAATGCGCTCCTTGTTATGGACTGTTCTCATACATATAATGTATAATCAATTATATATTCCTTTTAGACAGTTCCCCTCATCTGTTCTAATGCAGTGTTCATTATATATCCACTCTCTCCCCATTCCCTCACCCAACCCCCCATTTTGCTGTCCTATTTTATAATAGTGGTGTTAGGAAGTGTTTGTCCTTTTGTGACTGAGCTATTTCACTTAGCACAATGTCCTCAAGGCTCCCCAATGTTGCATAATATTTTACTACTGAATTGTTTTTCAAAGCTGGGTAGTATTCAATTGCATGCATATACCATAGTTTGTTCTATCCATTTGCTTAATAGGTACTTTGGTTGCTTCCATCTCTTTGCTATTGTAAATAATGCAGCAGTAAATATGGGTGTGGCTACATCTGCTTGATGTGGCTCTGGCGTCTTTAAGGTATACTCCCCATAGTGGAACTGTTGAGTCAAATGCTATTTCTATTTCCAACTTTTTAATAAAGCGCCAGACCTTCCGTAGTGATTGTACCATTTTACATTCCCACCAGCAGTGAATACGAGCTTCAATCTCTCCACAACCTCACCAGCATTTGTTGATTGCTAAAAATATTCTTCAGACAAACTTAGGAGCCTTACTGTATAGTATAAGTAGACTGTCAAATACAGAGTATAAGCTGGACTATTTGGATTTTCTAAGAATTAGATCTTCATGTGGATTAAAGTTCCCTAAATCAGCTAAAAGAATACTTACAAACTGAGAAAAAAATATTTGGGAACAACATATCTGGCAAGAGAATAAACTCTAAAATTTACAGAAAACCCAACATGAAAAAGATAAACAATCCAAATAAAACAGGACAATGAAAAGATACTTCACCAAAGAAAATATTCAGAAATCTAATGAACACATGAAGAAATGTTCAAGATAATTAGCTATTGTTGTTGTTAGGTGCTGCAGAGTCAAGTATGATTCATAGCAACCGTAGGAACAGCAGCTCTCAACCCTATCCTATCTTGTGCCAACCTCATACTTCCTGACACACTAGAGCCGACTGTAATCATCATCATGTTAATCTACCTGGTCGAGAGTCTTCCTCTCCTTACTGACCTTTCCAAGCACCAAGCACCAACTCCTTCTCCAAGGTCTAGCCCCTTCTAGCAACATAACCAAAGTACATGAGGCAAAGAAAGCCTCATCATTCTTGCCTCCAAAGAGCACTCCAGCTGCACTCTCTCAAAGACATACGTTTGTTCTTTAACCTGCCCATGGGATGTTCAGTGCTCTTCTCCAACACCGCAGCTCAAAGATGGCAATTCCTTTTCTGTCATCCTTATTCACTCTCCAGATCTCAGATGCACAGAAAGTGATCAGAAAGACCATACCCTGAATCAGATGCACTTTAGTCTTCAAACTGACACCTTTACTCTCAATAATTTGGAGAGGTCCCTAAATGCAGATTTTCCCAACTGTGTCTCCTGATTTCTTGACCAAAGGAGTTAATTGTGGATCCAAGTAAGATGAAATTGTTGACAGTTTTAATCTCATCTCCATCCATAACAATGTTGCCTATTGGTCCAGTGGTATGAATCTTTATATTCTTGACACTGAGATACAATCTATACTGCAGGCTGCTTTCCTTGATCTTCTGCAACAAGTGCTTCAAGTCTTCTTCACTTTCAACAAGCAGAGATGTGCCATCCACATAACTTATTGATGAGTCTTCCTCCCATGCTGATGCCACATTCCTCTTCATCAAATACAGCTTCTCAAATAATTTGCTCAGCATACAGATTGAATAGGTATGGGAGAGAATACACCCTGGCACACTCAACATGCAGTGTTCTCCTACTCTGTTTTCACAACAGGCTCTGGTCCAGGTATAGGTCTGACATGAGCACAATTAAGTGCTCTCCATTCTTCTCAATGTAAGTCACAACTTGTTATGATCCACACAGTCAAATGCCTTTGCATAGTCAATAAAGCATAAACAGACATTTTTTTCTGGTATTCCTTACTTGCCATCAGAATTCATCTGACATCAGCAATGAACCAGCAATAAATCATGTTTGAACTGTTCTAGCCATTTTCTGTTTTAATTGACAGCCAGGTGTAAAGTGTTTGATTGTTTTTAATTGAATTAACAATTAGGTGTGGGCAGGAAGCCTCTTGTTTAAACCAATCAAATGGGCAGGCCTTTCTATTTAAAAGTAGGTTGCAGTTTTTCCACAACCTCGCCAACATTTATTGTTAGATGTTCTGTTAAATTTTGCTATTCTTAAAGGGGTGAGATGATATCTCATAGTTGTGTTGATTTACTGGAACCCTTATTCACTGTTGGTGGGAGTATAAAATGGTGCAACCACTATGGAAGGCTGTATGGTGCTTTCTCAAAAAGCTGGAAATAAAAAATACCATTTGACCCAGCAATTAATTCCACTACTGGGAATATACCCCAAAGAAACCATAACTGCCACCCAAGTAGATACATGCATATCCATGTTTATCACAGCTTTGTTCACAATAGCAAAGAGTTGGAAACAACCTAAGTGCCCATCAACAAACAAATGGATAGAGAAGCTGTGGTATATTCACACAATGGAATACTATGCTGCATTGAAAAACAAGGAACTCATGAAATATTATTCAAAATGGGTGGTGACCTTGGAGGACATTAAGCTGAGTGAAATATCTCAGTCACAAAAGGACAAATACTGCAGAGTGCCACTGTTGTAAAACAGGACTGACATCAGGGTTGGGGGGAGACTGAGAAAGATGGAATAAATTATGTATACTGTATTGAAACAGATGAGGGAGAGAACTGTTTAAAAGGGATATGTGAGTAGGTATTATTGTCATGACAGGAGTCCAGAATGAAGACTGCATAGTGGAGTGGACTTGGGGGGAGGGACTGTATAACAATGAAAGAATTTTTCTTTCACTCTTCAAAGAGAAGAGTGAACTGGGGGGAGGGGTGGGTAGGGAGAAAAGTGCAACAATGAATGAATGGAAATCCAAAGTCTGTAAATTTTCATTAAAATTAATAATAATAATAATAATAATTTTAAGACATTTTTAAAAGTAGGCTGGTGTGAGGACTAATTTGCTATTAGAGTTAGGCACTAAACTGGCAGTTTCTTTTGTCTGGGGCAAACATTGTTCTAAGCAGTATAACACCTGTCTGTCAGTTTACTGCACTGAGTTAACTTGAGGCTGCTGAGACTGAAAGTTATCCCCTGGTGTGTCAAATGCCGTAAGGTTTACCCATGGTGAACAGGTTTTAGTAGAGCTCCCAGATTAAGAGCGACTAGGAAGCAGGACCAGCCATCCACTTCCTAAATAGCAGGCCTTTGAAAACTCTATGAACACTAAAGGAATAAGGACATCTATAGTAGTATAGTGGTAGAGCCCAGATTGGAAGTCAGTTGTTCAAAAACTGGAATGTATGTAGCCAGAATGCTGGAAAACTGGAAAATTTTTAAAAATTAAATGGAACACATGAACATCAACATACTAGGCATAGATGAGAGGAGATGGATCAGCTTCAGCCACTTTGAGTCAGACAATCATATGATATACTATGCTGGGGACGAAAAACAGAGGAGAATGGTGTTGTGTTCATAGTCAAAAAGGCAATTAGTTATTAGAGAAATGCAAATCAAAACAACAATGAGATATTATCCTTTCCTAGCAATAACAGCAAAGTTCAACAAGACAGTAAAAAGTGTTGGCAAGAGTATGGGGATAGCATGGAACTCTCAGAGATTGCAGGTGGGAATGTAAAATGGTGCAACTACCACATCCTACTATATAAACTGCATCTCAATACCAACAAATCAAGCAGTCTCCTACTAGACTGACAGGCAACATCATTATAGGTGGAGAAAAGACTGAAACTGTCAATGACTTCAACTTATGTGGATCCACAACCAACACTCTAGGTGGGTACCAGAAGTCAGATGATTCAGAGGCATATTTCACTGAGGAAGCACACAGTCAGGGACTTCTCCAAATTATGGAATTTATAATAGTCAGTTTGAGGACTAAGGTGTGCCTGATTCAGGTCATGGTCTTTTCAATCTTTTGTTGTGCTTCTGAGAGCTGGACAATGAGTAAGGATGACAGAGGAAAACTTGATGCCTTTGAGTTGTGGTGCAGAAGAAAAGTGTGGAAGATCATATGGACTGACAAAAGAACAAACAGATACGTCTTGGACAAGATGTAGCTAGAGTGTTCCTTGAAGGCAAAGATGATGAAGCTCTGTCTAAACATATTCTGGGCAAGTTGCTATGAGAGGCTATTCCTTGGAGAGGGACATTATTCTTAGAAGGGGGGCAGGTAAAGGAAAGTGAGGAAGACCTTTAACCAGATGGTGCAACACAGTGACTAAGTGATGATGGACTTGAGTCTGTCAGAGACTGTGTGGATGGGGCAGGATACGGCAGAATTGAGATCTGTTGTTCACAGGGTTGCTGTAGGTCGTACTTGACTTGATAACACCAACAACAACAATATGCCCACTGCAGCAATATTTACTACAACAAAGATATGGAAACAATCCAAGTGTCTTAACAACAAGAAAATAGACAAAGGAACTATGATAAACATACATTGTGGAGAACTATGAAACTCTAAAGAACAAAAAAAAAAGTATTGGGAAACACTGCCTAACATGGATGAATCTAGAGGACATCAAACTGAGCAAAGTAAACAGTCATA